AGCCACAGCACTAACTAGTGCTGCGACGAGCCTAAGAGTTTTGGGTGTGCTTTTCTTTAAGAATAACACAAGCTAAATGACACCTCAGCACTCCTCTTATGTGCATGTTAAGATTATCGTAATAATTATTATCAGCATAAATTATTAATTTGTCTCATTTTTCTACACATAATTTAAACTAAAATATGTTACATGTTAAGTATTTAGTTTCATATATATTGTATTTGGCATTTACATTTCCTGAAACGCATGAATTTTTAAATTTTAATATTCGTTTGCATTCATAATTTATTCTCACTCATCTTAAATTATTTTAAATGAAATCTGATCCTGGCTCATTACATTTATATGGCGTTTTGACCGACTTGTTTTGCTCTCTCCAAGTCAAACAATGAATTTAGTTCCTTCATCCCGGGTCACGTCAGCATTGAAAGATTTAAATTATTTGCGCACCTCCATTATTCTTTCCATCCATGGTAGATTGAGTCGCGTAATTTTTGCGAGGTCACGATCTCAAAACAAACTGTGGCGGAACTCAATCCGGCCCTCGAGAGGCTTAACCAAAGAAAGAGTTTTTAAGTCATAATTAGGCACAAGCCCATGATGGGGCACGTTTCGGCCCCGCGTAGGTGTGCAAACACATTATAATAACAAAATGAAAAGAAATCTGGCCGTTTTTGTATGCAAATATTCGTTGACATCACGCCGCTAATTCGCACAGGACGATCCATGCGGATTAGGTCCGTCTGTTTGCGCTGCAACGGGACCCTTTTTGTGCCGATTCAATTTCTTGGCGGGACAATAAATGCCCGGCATTAAGCAGGGCATTATGGCACAAACGCGTCTGATGAGCGCGCCAATATGAATAATGCGTTCTTTTTCACTCGCATGACGCCATCCGTGTCGCTGCGAAAGGCCTCAAAAGGCGGCCGTCGTTGCAAAAAGGACGGCGACAAAGAGCCAACCATGTCAGCATGTCGCTCGTTTTTACGGCCAGGGCATACGGTTCGATTTTCTGCCTCTCTGAATTAGCATTTGCTGCTTTTTCTGTTTGCTTCAAAGAGGTCACCGCTCCGGGTGCAAATATTCAAGTGTTTTCGTTTGCTTGTTTTATTATTATTATTGTTATTTTTTTTTTAAATTTCCTGCAATAGTGCTTCACAGTATTTTATAAAATCTCAAATGTACTTCCTTTTACTGAAATATTCTTGAAAAGATATTATTTTAAATATAATTGATTATGCTAAACGTTTTATTCAAAATAGGAAAAAATGGGCCAAAATTGATTATTATGAAATAAAATATCGTCTATTTTTCTATTAATAAATTGTCATTTAAAATTTGCACAACTTTACATTAAAATCTACACAATATAATATTGTCAATATTGCCCATTTATGGCCCGTTATATAGAAGTTATTAAATAATTATTTATAATACTCTTTAAACGTACTTCAAAAAATAGCACAGATAATTTTTTTTAATTTGCTGCAGTCCATACCAGGCTTTCTTGAATGAGAGCATTTTACCACGTTTTAATTAAAGCTAAAGATTAAAATGCGTGTTTCAAATTAGTATATTTATCTCCAAATACGTCTTAATTAGCCCCACTAATTCTCAAGCTAATTAATGTGTCCATGAGCATTAATAAAATCTCATGTTTCTGTTGAAAGCTTAAATTATATTTAAAAATATGTTACACTAAAATTTGAAAATTAAAAACAAAAATCAAAGAAATGTCATTTGGATATCATTTATTTATTCATAGAAGCAACTTGTGTTTTTTTCTGCTTACCCTATAATAGGCTATTTTTTAAGAATTTAAAATTCATGTGATTTAATCGTACTAGCGCTGCTTTATTTAATGAAACGTCTTCAAGATAATTTAGATAGGGAAAATAATAACCACTGGCGTGCTAGAAAATAATTATTCCCTCGCACTTACAATTGCACCGCGAGCACCAGTTTACATGCCAGATGCAATTAGCTGTTGTAATTGTATGCTAATATGGCAGAGCGGTGCGACATTTAACAATAAGTTAGTGTCTCAGTACATTTCTCTTTCTCGGACAATCGACGGCGCACTCTTTTTCTCAGCGTTAATCAGCGTGCGATTTGCATATTTTGTATTAATTTAAACGTCGGCCCGAACGAAGATTGATTTATGGTCTAATCAGTGTAATCGCCGTTTGAGCGCATTTGCTGCCCTCGCTAGGCCGCGAGCGCCGGGAATAAAATCACTTGTTATTTATACAAACACAAGCCGCTTTGGCTAACTAAGAGATCGCACCAGAGGATAATTTCGCGGTAGTGCGTGCAATAATAATTGAAAGCATCACTCGAGGCGAGGATTCGTCATTGCCGTAATGGACAAGGTTGTTTCAAAACTGGTCTTTACTGGTTGAATTGTAAAAAAAAACTTGCTGGATTTAATTCATGGGTTAGCTCTTTACTTGAAACCCTTTTTATTTTAAATGATGAAATATTTTTGTAATCACATAAATACTTGATTGGAATTAAAAAAAATAATAAATAAAATGCTAAAAATCACCTAACTGATATTGATCCTAATCGTTACTAAATTACAATGTATTTTTCTGATTTTCTAACAATAAAGTTAAGTTAAACTTTTAAAGTCAATTATTAACATCAGTGCTCAATCATGTTTCCAAAGCGCGGATATTAATCATATTTTAAATTTATCCTCATGAGAAATTGATCCCCGTCAGACTTGAACTTCATGAAGATGTCAGAATTTGATTAACTGGTGTCCAGTGACGTGCTCGGTCAATTTATTCCCAGACTCCGGCAAGGCTATTTTTACAGAAATAATTTATTTCATAATTAATTAAGCTGGCAGAAGAAGCAACGGACACGGTCCAGTTGCATGTGGGGCAGGTCAAGAATGCATGCACGCGTTTTGTGAGATGCTTGTGTAATGTATGCATCCTCTCGCACGGTTCGAATTAATGCTCTCACGTAGGTATATTTATTTATTTTATTCTATACTTCCTCCTACAAGCCGGATCACAACGCAAGACATCGAGGAGTGTTGCTGAGCGCGTGATTAATAAATCACTGCAGCTCGTCCTGGCAAATATGGAGCACCGGCGCTTCATCTTCATGGACTTTGTTTATCTTATATTAGAAGCTAAAAATTATGTTGCAAACAATAAATTATTACTATAAATTTTTAATAATTACACTTTAATTAAGAGTCGCATATAACGTGTTATTTAAAAATTGTAAGACCTTAAACAAAAAGTTGTGTCCAAGCATTTTTATTTTATGAAAGATAATCAAATTGAAATCCGATTGCATACTAAATTGTGATATCCATGCGATAAATGCATTTGTCCCCAAGGTATATTCTTTTGCTTTTTTCATTTAAAATTTTGTGTATAATTTACATATTTGAATACTTTTATGTGTTAAATCATGTTGAGTATATTCTCCAAATTACTCTAATTATATTTTACTAAATTTAAGTCCTGGAGGATTCCTTTTACATTCAATCATCATTAATAATTATCCAATTCCATATATTATCGAATTATAAAAATTATTTTCATTGTTCTTAGGTGTTGCATTTTTCAAAATTGTTAGAAAAATTTTCATTGTAAGTAAAACAATATTAGGTAGTCATACACTGATACATTGAATTCTTGAACAAAAAGGTGCGAAATTAAATAATTATAATTATTTCAACATTTTAAATTTTTAAATTTCTCCTGTTATTGTTTTATCTCGAAAATGAGACGACCTGGTAACAGAGCCCCCTTTTGTTTGGCAACCAAATTTTTTCACTTTAAATTTCAGATATTGCCCCAACTCATTTTTATCACTGAAAATATTTCTGACAATGAGTTATTCCTTCATTAAATATAATTTGCAGAATTACGGTTATAAGCTTTTTTGCAAATAAAAAATTAATGATTGAGAAAATGATTTCCGCGGCACATTCATTGGTTTTATCATCGATAACAGTTACGCCGGAATAAATTATTCTTAACCTCTCACGGATGCATAAAATCGCATCGGCAGAGAAAAGAAAATCCCGCCTCCGCCTCGGCTGTAAAAATAAAAATTAAAATAACGAGCGCATAATAATAACCCAGTTATTGCAGCGAGAGAGATGCAAAAATAAATGGAGTATGTGCACCTGTCTACCCGATAATAATTTATTCTATTCATCAGCATGAGATCCGTCGCGCCGATAATGACCTTTGCTCGATTCCTAGTGCACCTGCAGCCCTATCACCGCGAGAAAAATGATGGCGAATGCAGTCGCGCGCGCACTCGCTGCAAATTGACGCGCACCTGATTTATGTGAAGATTTTTTACTCTTATCGAATGCGATGTACTGCTGCGTGTAAGACACGGCGGTCAGCTGGTTAGTTAACCCACATAGCAGAAAACACTTTTATAAAACGGCGGTCGGCAACAGGTTAAGTGCATTTCGTGCAATTGGGTTGAAAAGAGAAAGAGAGATGCGTGTGTGCGTTTGTTTCCTCCTCGTCTTTTATGCAATCCATCATTGCAACTGCGCTCATTTTGCATTTATGATTATTATATGAGTTACTTGCACTTGCTTGCTTGGCCTCTTTTTGCAAAGCAGGATATCATATCTCAAACAGCAAAACAAAAACATTTTCTGCTGAACATCCTTAATTGCATTAAATTGATCTTTAAATTATCGTTTGCTAAGTAATTAATTTAATTTTTTCTCAAAGGCTGTTCTGTGTTAAAAAAGAATACAAAGAAAAGTAAAACAAAAATTACATAATATTATAACAAAGTAATCTATAAATATTTAAATTATATTCAGAAATTTTGCACAACCTTTTTAAATCTTATTATCATTGTCATTTAATTTTATAAGTTTTTTCAACCCAGTGTGCATCAGCGTAAATTTTATTGAAGTAATTGTGTAGTAAATAATCAAGTTCATTTATATATTCATACCAAAATTTAAACAGAATAGAAAATGAAATTAAAATGATTTTTTTTATAAAGTCAAACTTTTTTTATCTTACAATTCAAATCATTTTGCAATACAGTAATTGCAGATGGCAGGATTAGCACATTTAGCATACATGTTGGAACAACAGGGGCGGTCAGGGTAGTAATAGTAAGCGTTTTTCCTCTTGTATCGCGGCTTGTCAAAAATGCACATGCCTTCTATGGTGGACCCAGGTTTTTCCAGCAGACAAACGTTGACCTTGAACTCTGCCCTACCGCCAAATTTCTTGCTCACAATGTTGTCGCCGTTTTTTAGAGACAGTGTTGAGATTTTCGTCCCCATCGTTGATCTCTGTATTGAAAAAGTTAATTTTTTTTATAGAATTTTTGTGCAACAAAAGAAAAGGAACAATTTTACAAACCGAGTCATTTTCCAAATAGTGCAGAGTCGCGCAAGGACTTGAGGTCCACTGGTTGATCACCACCTCTTGAACGACCCCATCTTCGTCCGTGAAGACTGTTCTTTGGAGTGAAATTAATGATGCAACTTGTTCTCCTTCCTTGGGATTTTCAAAATTCTTGATTTGGCAATACTCCGAGAGAGCCTAAAAATTCAAAAATATTAAATTGGTTTAATCAAAATCTCGCAACTTTACCCTTATTGGACGTCCACTTGTTTTTACCGATTGAAATTTTAAACTTTCTTTGGAAGAGGCAAAATCAATTACAAAAAAGATCACAAACCACAGCTGAGCTTTGAACATCCTTCTCATTGTATGGGGCTAAGAAAACTAATAAATAGAAGTGCAACTATATTAGTATTAATTTTTATCAATTTAAAACAGCAGGTGTTTGATAAATGTGTGTTTTTGATAATATTTTTCTCTCTCTTTTATCTAAAGGATTACGACTTGAATATTATTCAAGAAATTTAAACAAGGAGCAATCATGCAAAAAATAAAAATGCAGATATTTTCCAGCATAATCTTCTTATTTAATGGACCAAATTAAACATTTACTGTTATTTACTGTTATCTGTTGGTATCGTCATTTAATAAATTGTGTTTTCTCCTTCTCCTTGGCTTCTCTAATACGCAAATGGCATCCACAACTTTGTCTTCATCAGAAAAATAAACGCTGGCCCTAACTTCCATTCTTCCACCGTACGTTGCATTCAGGGACACACTAGCGTCATCCAATACTTCAGCATACTCAGGAGGGTCCGCTCGGAATCTCTTGTGCACATCGGACTAAAAATGATATTTTATAATTATACATTCACATTAAAGGGCATCTTCTTCAGTAATTATTTTTATTGTTGAATTCAAAAGAAGAATAAAATTCATAGGTGACATCAAAATCGCAATTGAGGGAAGCATTCGTACAGGTTGAGACAGGGGCAAATTGATGGCTCTAATTTTCCCAAAGGACCTTGAGGGAAGAGTAGATTAATGTCTAAAAGTAGTAACCGGCTTATTTTGTCTAATTTAGTGGTTTAGTCCCTCAAGGTGCAAAGTTTTTGACCACAATTTTGATATCCGACACGATATTTGGTGTTCTTTTGAATCAAAAAATAAATTTAATCACTGGTGAGGGCCTTTAATTGTGTATTAGAATCTCAAATTACTTTGTTTCCCGAAGCGTAATAATAAACTATGGAGTCGTCACCACGGAAAAATTTTTCCAGATACACCTCCTTGACTTTACCCCTTCCATTCAAGAACACGATCCTGTTGACTGTGAGTTGAGCGCCAAGTTTTTGACTGCCCGCTGGGTCATCGAAATTTAGAAACGTGCAGCTTTGCTGCATAGCCTGCAAGTGTTGCATTTATTTGCTACAGTACGCATTGATCGATAGTGCAATCAAAACTTAATATTGCTTACGGTGATGTCCTGGGTTCGCTGTTCCTTGCGCAGTTTTTGTCGGAAGCAATTTCGAACAGCGTCACAAAAATTTATACTGACGAGCAGAAGCATCAAAACTTCAAACGTGAAACACACTGTCTTTGCCATGGTTTCAAACTGAGATTTTTTTCGCTAATCTTTTGAAACGTGATCTGATAAATTGTGTGTAGGTTTGCTTAAGAAGGTCTGTTTATGGTTTTAAAACATTCATCAGGCTATTTTTAAACTTTTCCTTGAGCTCTAAAGTAACTCGTAAGCGAATATCAGAGCTGCTTTTAAACTTCCTCTTTGACATGCTGTTATTAAGTCTGATAAACAAAATAGCAAAAAAGAACTGTGAAGCTAAAAATTTATTAATTCACAATAAGCTTTAATACCTATTTAAATCTAGGTTTCTTTTACTACGTAAACTACAGCCCCCTTTGCTGGGTGAGGGCGAGGAGTAATAGTAATAGTATCGGGTTTGGAGGACATAGAAAACATTTGAGATTTTTGCTCTTGATCTTGAGTGGTGACAGGGTCTTTAGCGGTGTCAGACTGTCCTGTCGCACCTTTACTTGCAGAGTAATAAGTGCTTCCATTGGACTTAAATTCGGGCTTCTTCTTCAGTTTTGGTTTGCCGAAGTAGCCGACACCTTCAATGAGTTCTCCATTGTCGTACCGCCTGATTTTGGCCATCATTTTTAGGCCATTCTTAGCTTCAATGGGCAAAACTACTTCATATAAATTGCTTTCAAAATCTTTGATAGAACCAGGCAAACATTCCCCCAACTGAAAATATTCGTTTCTCATTATCAAACTCATTTATCTAGTAAAAATCTCAAAACATACTTTGTCGGTGGGGCAATACTGACAACTCACTAAGTTGTCCCAACAGTATCTGGTCAAGACCAATTGGATGATTTTCCCTTTGTTGTCCGCATAGGTGGTCCTGGCTGCTGACATCCGTAGGTTAACGTTGTAACCGTCATTAAGGTTGTTCAGATTTTTAAATATGCAAGAATCTGTGTAGCTCTGTTAGTAAAAGAAATTATTCCGTTAATAATTTTTTTCTTGCTCAGCTTGAAAACTAAATATTTTTTTTTAAAATTTTGAGGAAATATAATAAACTAATTTCTTGTTTGTAATTTTTCAAACTAATTTTGAATAATTTTCGTGTTATTAAATTGGTATTTACCTTAATGTCCAAATTTTTTGGCGATTGTTTGTATAGTTTGGGACCTGCTGCAAATCCAACTTTGCACAACGCCGCTGCTAATATTGCAAGCTTGAATGTTCCCAACAGCATTTTGAAATGTGCGATAGGCGTGGTGACGCACTCATATTTATATCTTTCGCTTGTTTGAATCTGCTTTGTTGTACCAATTACAATTACTTAAAATGAAACAACTCAAGCTAATCAGTTTTCAGAACTATTTTGTTAAAAAGATAAGAGACGCATAAGCCAGCACTACAATTTAACATTTAGTTTGTAATTTTTCACATTAGAAATTTATAATGAATCGGATTTTTAATGGTTTTAAAGGATTTTGAGAAACAAAATCAAACAATTTTTTTCAGTTTACAATTTTTTTACATTGTAAATATTCTCTCGTTTTCAAAGAAGTGGATCCCTTTTTCACTTTTCTTTTTACCAATTTCAACCTTTTTTTTGCGTATCAAAGCAACTCATTTGCCAGCAATAATTTTTTTTAATTCGAAAACAAACAAAAATTTTATAAACCCCATGTAACTTGATTTTTCTTTGCCTTGCTTTATTATTATCTTCATTGACAGAATTGAACTGTTATTTAATGGGATAAATAAACCAACGGGAAGTGTATTTATTTATTTTTATTAAATTTGCCATTTTTGTCGCATTGAAATTCGTGATACATACAAGTGGTTAAAAAATAAGAGGTCCAAGGGCAAAAAACTTGCCTAGGATTTTCTAGCAGGTCATTCAGTCGAGTTTAATAGAGGCGAGGAGGATCGTTATGCAAATCACGCTCCATTACGCAAAGCAGCCGCATCTCAAATGAGCATCGCATTGTAGCTCTTATCTGCCAGCTGTCCGTCGCTCTCCCGACGAGCGTGCCTAAACATATATGCACGTGGTACATATTTTCGTGTACATCATATCCGCGCAGAAGAGTGCTCTCTGGCAGCATCTGCACTCCCAGTTCGTGGGAAGAAACGCCACATTCCTCTGGAAAAAAGAAATTCGAGTCGCTTAATGAATGAATAATTACGCTTGAAAGGCGCGACAATCAGCTCGATTTTCCTTCATTTTCTCACCAATTTACCACGTGTCACGCCATTCACCGAGCAGGTGAGGAAACCCAACTCCCTCTGTTTTATTGAAAGAGTTGCCGTCTCAAGGAAGTGCAGTTTCATAACAGCAATAATGCATTTCGCCTCTCAAGATTGCTAAGTGGCCCGTTGAGGTGACAAAAGTAAATAAAATACAATATATCGTCTTGAGAGAATAAAAGAGCAAAAAGTAGTTCTCTATTTTCATTAAAACGTCAACCTGAAATTGCGCTTGTTAGTTTCGTCTGATGTGAAATAATAATAATAACTTACAGTAGAGTAGAGTGAATTTTGTGTATAACGGAGAGTGACCAGTGACCTGATGGCAAAGTAATGACTTGCAGCGTGGGAAGGAGACCAGATTTTAGATAAAATTCGCGATTCATAGAAATGCGAAATTAATTTTTGTATATTATTATTAAAATTCAAGAAAAATGCACAAAGTGATGGAAAATGGAATCAGAATCGGTGGCAACAAAATTAAAACGGATCCCGCTTTGGTCAAGAGGCTATTTTTAATTTTATAAGTTTTAACATAATCTTCTGTGCTAGTGGAGTGCATCTTAGTCCATCAATTCAATATTTTCCTCCAAACAGTTGGTTGCTTTTTTCAATGTAAAATTTAAGTATTAATTTGCACAATAAAACAACGCAAACAGTAAGTTTTTTTCTGTACATTATTGTTCTGCAGGTTGCAGCAATTACACAACAAAATTAAAGTTGAGAATAATTCCCTTTAATAAATATTACCATTAATCTTTTGGCACAGATTTTTATTAATTATTCTGCCAAACGGAATATTAATTGCATTAGAAACCTTCAATCACAATTTGTATAAAATTATTTTAAAAAAATTGGTTTATTAATTGTCTTGATTACTTTCTATAATCAGAACTCTATTGAAAACTGAACAGGATGCGAATAACTAACAAACATCGAAACACAATAAATAATAATAACGAGCGACGGTGCAAAAAGTTAAATCTCGTTCATCACGGAAACGACAACGGGCGAAATGAGACGTGTGTGTTTATCATATGGATGGATGATGAATAAATGATTTTTATGCGTCGCTCGTCCGGCTCGAGTCTGTTCATACAGTTCCCGGGCTTATTAGGTTAATTGGCCATTATCGGAGCTTGTGTGGGTTTGTTGAATGCAGAGAGCGAGCGCAGTATGTAAGCAGGCAAAAAAGCGTGCGGTACAGTTAAGCGTAAAACGCAAGGACGACAGCACACGGCGCGCAAAAAAGAGCATCCGACAGAGTTCAGTCGCACACGTTGGGCGGCGAAAAAAGTTCAAGCCGAACGAAAAGACAACAAATCACCACAAACGTGATGACAAACGAGTGGAAAAATGAGGCGTAAATTATATATGACGAAAGGCAAAGAGTGACGCTTGGAAAATTTCCTTTGTTTTGATTGCTACTTGGAACTCTCCATTAGTTTTATAGGCCATGCGCAATGGGTCTTTTTTATTTAAAATTTTGTTTCTTTGACCTGAATTTTCCCTCCGACATTTACACTGTAAATTAAAAATTCCGATTTCAACTTATTTTTTTTTGTACAAAATTTGGAAAAAAATGTTTGATTAAAAAACAATAAAATATAAAATCAAAGTAATCCTCATTATTTGGATTCTACCGTGTATACCTTAGGGAAGGATATTTACAAAATTAAGGTAAAAGAATTTTTCAGCGAATAAGGAAATAAGTTTCTGGATAAATATTCTTATTATGTTATATTAAAATCTGGCTTGTAAAATACATTTACAAATATTTAGGGACAATTTTCATTTTTTTTTTAATCTAGTTAATTTGATCTACATGAACCTGTTTGTAAAAATTTGCTGCCCAACATTCTGTGTCAGTCGTGCAGTTCAAATTAATCCGAAAACGTGGCACTTCGCACCGACCCGAATTTCACGCTCTCATGTAGTATTTACTTCATTATTCGTCGCCCCCGAAGCGAAATTCGAAAATTAAGACGTGAAAATTCAATGAATCGGTTTTCATAAAATCACGACTCGCCTCTCCAAAGACAATAAAAAGAGAAGAGACGCTTGATAAAAAAAAAAAGCTAGTCGTGATTTTTGCGTCTCACGTGTAATAAAAACAACACTTGTGAGAATGACCCGCCTCTTGCATTTACAAGAGCGAGAAAATATTTTTCATGCTGGCCCATCCAGTTATAGGAAAATAACACACTACATACACATGCATCTCAAATTTCGGTCGCACAAAAAAACGGAGTGCTCAATCCTGGTACCAGCACAATTACTCGCCATACAAATAAGATAGCTTTGCATATCAACTGTGCTCTAGAGATATATCAAATTTCTCTTTGGGTGCAAGCAACCGTCGTGCTAAATGACTGAAGTTAAATGTGTCAGTTTGATTGTTAAAATTTTGACACTTTTAAACCCAATTCAAGCCATTAAATTTCACTTTGAAAATAATATCCTTCGACAGCTAAAAAAAATTAGCAACGGAGTAAAAATTACAAATTTATTTCATCATTTTAAATTTCAACTAATTATTGAGACTGATTTTATGTTGTAACAAAAATTTTGAAAATTCTCCTTCCCCTCCAAACAAATGTTTTTCTTTTGGTGTTAAATGCAACAATTTGAAAAAAAATCTTCACACATTATTTTGGAATTCAGTATTTGAGTTTTACGTAAAATTTACAGATTTTGAATTTTTCAACCAAAGAAATTTACAATTAATTGTTACCACCTTAACTTTAAAAGTTTAATGGAGTAATTTTTTGATCAATGAATATCAGCAGCTACTCAGCACACGCCCACATGCCACTTTTTTCTGTCAAGAGTGCCGCCGGCAATTTTCATCACGGTAGCTGCCGAACTTGAATGTAATTGATTTGCTTGATTAGAACCGGGTCGTGAGAACCAACCCGCGATTTTTCTCACTAAACGCGGATTTACATGAAACACAATTCCCACTCAAAAACCTTGCATTTGAGTTGGCTGTTTTTTTTTCTATTCTGCGCACGGCTGTGGCCATAAAATTGCTTGGAACAAAGAAAGTCAGTTACATTTCATTTCAATCATTTCACATCTAAAGTTCCAAACTACTTTTCCTTTTTGGTCTAATGCCAAAATTTGTACAAAGACAGTAAAGGGGATTTAATTTTTTTGCAACTTTCATCTTCAATTAAACAAAAAAAAAAAATTGATAAAAACATTGAAAGGTATTAAAAAATAACAAATTAATTTTTTTATTTTGTATACATTTGAATCGAATATGAAAATTATTAATTTTCAACAATTAAAATCTGAATTTTTTTTGTATATAACTAGGCAATTTAAATATATCACTCTTTCAGTTGATATTTATTTATTTTATGAGAGTAATAAAAAAAGGATTCTGTGTGAAAAAACTAGGATGTGATATATTTAATTTTTTTTATCTCATATTGAATAAAAAGAACTCATCTATATTTAAGCTTTATTCTTAGCTTTTTTTGTTTTTACTTTTTTTAAATTTTCGCATTTGATTTTCCTTCATTTATTGCCCCATCTGCTTCTTTCCTGTATTCTGGCGTCAACAATGAGCCGCAGCTGTGCGCATCCTTTCCTCTTCGTTACAATTCCGCGCACAAGCAACTTTCAACCAGCTTTCGTTCGACGACTCTTATTTTCCCATTCAACTCGCTCGTCGCAATTTGTTATCAAATTGGCTGAAATTTCTATTGCCACTGTACGCGCTCCAAATTATTATCCTCTTTCACGAGCTGATAAAACCAAAAACGAAAGTTGCGCGCAGAAATAAATGAAAAAAGAGAGGCAAACGGGTGAAATTGCCGAGCATGTGGGCCATCGCGGCAGATGCATTATTCATGCGCCGTGTATCATGAACTAACACTTCTCTTTGCGCAAACAAACATCGAAAGCAAAAATTAATTTATGGTCTGCAGAATTCGTGAAGTATCCAAGTTGGTCTAATTTAACATGCGTAACGAAAACATCATAAGAAAAAAATTGTTATTAAATTTAAAACGGACGATTAGTTGAACTGATTAGGCCTGAACTTTTGATCGTTCAAAACATGTTTTGATGTAGATTTGTTCTTCTCATTTTATCGCCTTGCTTATCCGCAGAGTTGGAAAAAACTGTTTCCACACTGACTGCACCTGATTGATTTTTTACAGTAAGCATACTTACGGACCGTGATTATTTAGCTTAATTATGTACGATGCTGATTCTGTATAAAGAACACGCACAGTACTTGCTTCAATGATCATTCATTCATCAGATCTTGCTGAAATGCGGAAAATGCAGATTGGAATTTAAAAACCGTACGATGGGAATCTATCAGTCAACATCAGAGTTGGAAGTTTCTAATAATTATTCTATTGGCGTTGCATGAATACTGACCAATTAAATCATTTTAATTTGCTTGACAATTGAAAATTGGCTTGTTTTTCCAATCATATATCTTTCTTTAAAAAATTATTATAGTTAATAATTTTTTGTATGAGTTCACCAATTAAAACAGACTCTCAATGGTATAAAATATAAATTAAATAATAATCAATTATTCTTGCTCAGCTTCTGCGTCATGAATTGGTTATCATAAAAATTTGTTTTCATATGTAATTAGTTTATTCTTGATATTTTATTGTTTGCATTGAATATAATTTAAATTTAAAGAAACATGCACAATATGTAGATTTTTTAGCAGAAATGTATACATTTATATTTTAATCTATCAAAGCTGTATATTATTATAAATGATTTATACTTTTTTATGGATTTAAAAATTAAGTTTAATAATAATAATTGTAAAAGATGAATTATAACCTTCAAAATAAAAATACTTTTATAAAACAGAATAAAAATAAATTAATAGTAATAATTAATTAAATTCTTTAATGAAATTAAAATAGAAGTTGATCAATGATGTAAGATGTAAATATTAAACTGCATAATAGTTTTGTAATTTTCTGTAAAATATCTGCTTAAAAAAATAGCATTCATTCTGAAATAATTGAAAAGACTATTATTTGACCCCAATTAAGTGAAGACGTGTGTGCTCAGGAGATAAACGGCACACTTAATTTGCTTTTAATGCTTGAAAGATTGAGAGAAAGGGTTGGAAAACATTCGTTCGCGTGTGCACTTTGCTGGCGGCCGATCAGCACAATGAACGCGTATATCGGAATGCAATCACTCATTTTTATTTGCACCCAGTGGAATTCGTCCAAGAATGCCGAGTGCCGTTTCTCTTCGCGTTGTTTGTCTCTTGTTCTTTCTTTCTTCATTGTATATTAAAAGCAAAAAGAAAGAACAAAGAGGACATGAAGAGAGCTGGACGCATTTTTGTTTCACCAGTTTTGGCGAGTGACGCTCTTTATTATTTTTTGCAGAGGGCCATTGTGTACGTCTTGCTTTGTTTACGTGTGTTTTGTTAATTAGAGAGCTAAGTGTGCCGTATGACCACAAGGCGGCGGTCCAAAATCGATTCGTCACACCCTGGCCCGACCCCCGCAGCCTTTTCAATTAAAGACCCACTTTTGCCGCAAAAGCTACTTTGACCAAACGGATGCATCTCAAGGTGCGTTATCAGACGATTCAATTAAAGAAGAAAAAAAAATGCTCCGCCGAGCGTTAAGTTTTGCACAAACAAGAGGATTTGTTTTCCACGGTGTTACGTTTAAACTCGCCTAACGATTCCATTAAACATTAAATAATAATTTCCAGACAGGCGAGCAAATGCCCATTCCGTTGTAAATTGAATCTTTGGAATATATTTAATAGAGCTCTGACCACTTTTTAAAACATTAGAAAACAATATCAGAGATCCGTGAAAATGCCTTTGTAAAAAATCACACAGTAAACGGGATTATTTTTTACGGAAATTATTCATTTCACATCTTTTATCCGCATTTTATATTGAAATAAATCTACAAAAAATGGCGCAAATTTCACTCTTCCCTGACTCGCATTCAGACGTGGACATGCACAAATTCATTCTACGGGAAAATTGCCACTCGAACTTTTTTACTTTGGACTGTGATCGATTGTATTTAAAGCTCTCACGGATGCAATCTTCTGTCTAAAAAGCTGTAGTTCTGCCTGACTTGGAAATAAATGACAATGGTCAGAGTGGATCTATACAATTGAGTGTGAACATTGGCTTTCGTGCTGGCAAATTCTTTAGCTCGTAACAGAGTATCCGTTTTGTTTCTATTCTCACCGAGGCCACTCAGCGGATAATTAAAAACAAAAAAATTATCGATTTTTTTTTATCAAATTCTAAATAGTTCTATAACTGAAATGAATTTTTTGCCTGGATGCTTAATAAAATTTTTATTAAAAAAATATATTTATAAAAATCTCATTCATTAAAATCAACGGTGTAAAAGTAATTATCTTATTTTACTTCATTAGAACGACAATAGTAATACAAAACTATTAATCTGGTTCTCAAAAGGAAATTGAATGGAACTAAAATAAATTATAACTTGGAATTTTCAACGTAATTAAATTGTTAAATTATTTTTTAAGAACATTAAAAAAAGTAATCAAAATAACAAAAATGTCGTATTTGAAAAACAAACATCTCATATTTTTCGTTTTAATATTTTCAAAATTAAAAATTGCATACTCTGCATTAATTTTACCTGACTGAGAGAGTACACCTTGGCGCCATCTCTCGCGTTTCTAGAACTGTTCTCAGGGTATTGCTGCGTTAGTCAGCGCCACCTGTTGCCAGGGTCGGGTGCGGCACCCTCGCAGGCCTCGATTGACCGCTCCTGAGGGACGGTCGTTGACCCATCCCGCTTTATTTTCCTCTTCAACTTGTCATTCACTCACTCATTCGGTGCCTTGGCCAAGCGAAATGAAGTGAAGCTGGTGAAGAAGGAATGGACCTGAGATGCATGAGTCATAGAAGAAAGAGTAACAACACCTGATGCTCAAACAGCCGGGCAAACTCATGATCTCAGGTAGCACTCAAATGGCTGCAACAGCCTCGGTGCACTTGTCCGGCTTCGTGTCATCAAATCCTTTTTTTGAAGTCTTCAATTTATTTAATTTTCAGTCATAATCAGTTATTGTGTTGTTCATTTTTATAGGAAAATAGAAATGAAAGAAAAAATTAATTTTTGTACAAATGTCAATTTAGTAAAAATTATCAAGTATAGCACATGAGTCTTAGCAAAATACATTTTCAGCTACAGTCTATGTACACAAACTCGAACAGGCAATATGTACATACACAGTTTGTTCAGGGGTGGACACATAATTTAAAATTTAACAAAACAAAGATAAGTAGACAAATAAATTTACACGATTTCTTTCTACAATGGAATATATATTAACCTACAAAAATGCAAAAATGATCGAATTCGTTAATTAATATTTAAAAAAAAAACTCATTCGGAAGACGGAAGGAAATTCACTAACGCCCACCCCCGGAAGGTATAGTAGATTTTACACCTGAGGCTATGGCAATCACATGGGGGCCCCGTTTGTACTAGGTCAGGTACGCTGTGGCGGCAGGCTCACCCTCAGGGTCACCATCAGGTTCGCCCTGGGGATGCCTGGGGTCACGAGGGCACGCAGTAGCCACTGTAGGTGCGGATGGCCTCCTCTGTGTAGCTCTTGCCAGCAATGACGCCCGCCTCTCGGTGGTGCCTGGGGCAGTGGTGGCCGTGTGGGCACTGGCACAGTGAGTTCAGGTTCACCTCGTCCACCTCCGGCCGCTTTCGAACCGTGAAAAGTCGACAGGGCTCCTTGCGTTGGCAGCGTAACCTCTGCAAATTTCAATTGAGAAATTAGTCAAGGAAAAATAAAATTTAAATTTAAAAGTCAAGTTTTCACTTTCTTTTAATTGATATAATTTATGATCGGTTATAAATTCAGGTTACATGAGCTCTTGCAGGTGTTCAGGTTTTTTATAATTAATTTGTCAACACATAAATTTTCCCTCTATTTTTATATATATATGTGTAACTTGACTCTTTAGGAGAGAAATCTTGAAAACTTACACTCTGAGGCGAGCAGGCGAAAGAGTATTGATATCCTAGGCCTTGTGGCGTCTGGTACGTTTGCCTCTTGACCAAATAGGCCACAGAAGACTTGGGACAGTGGCAGTGCATCACCTGCTCGGTTATGTTGTCTGGCGACGTTCGCAACGTCCACGTGTAGTCGCGGAAGAAGCGGCACTTGGGCAATTTTTTCGTTGGCTCGCATAACTGAAATTACGCAGGAAAAATTAGATTGCTGTTTTCTTCTATTATAAATTAAAATTGTCTTTCGTAAAACAAATATTTATAATAAATATTAATTAAAAGCAAAAAATTAAAAAAAAATGAAAATTACCTTGAAAAGTCGCGTTTTGTCAGTAACAGTGTGTCCGTCCGAAGCGTCCAGTGACGAAGAGCATGACGACGACGGACACCTGCACTGCTTCTCCACCCAAGGAGAGTCGTAGAGGTCAACTTTACTGCAGACAGCCCACGGACCGCATTCCGGCAGATCCTCCTCTTTGCTCTGAAATCAAACCAGAAAATTCAAAATTAAAATCTTTGTAAATCAATTAAAATAATTTTTTGACGCTTCGGGTTTATATTATTGACTAACGCAAGTTCTCGATTTAATTTTAAAGATCTCGGTGGATCTCGGGTTGTGGTGACAGACACGTCGCCTCAAACCTTGAGTGCTGTGTGTCTACGTCAAAACAAGAGGTTAGTCAAACGGGCCAGAGATAAATTCGCCCGGCGGTCGGCGCGGTTTGACCGGCCACGAGCAGGGGTGTCCGAAAAGAAAATACTGCTGCATATATATTAAAGAGCTGGTTGGGAAACCGGAGCCGTTTTTTGGAGGCTGCTGTGGTGAGCACGTGGTTTGCGGCTGGACCGGCTGGTGGCTGGCGGCTCGGGTTTCCTTCTCGCGGGTTACAGCGACTGCTGACTCGGTCAGTTAAGGAGAGAGATAGGGCTCGTCGCGAGCGTTTAATGCATTTGCCTGTAAAGGAGTCTGATCGGTCGTTTCCGCTCTTTTTGTACGCTGGCCATTGAGAGGCAATTTAGTTTAGAGACGGACGGACGCGGCGAACGGACTCTCGCTCATGCTACTTTTAATGCCGGATCCTGGGGGGCAAATTAAGTGCATGCCCGACTGGCCGGCCGGCCGCCTTTTCGAGACTTAATGCGAAGGAAATTGCTTTTTGATTCCACGTTTTCTCGAGTTTTCTGGACTTTGACAATGCATATCAGGAAGAAAGTCGTTTTAGAGTTCCATATTTGGCTCTGGTTCATAGAAATTCTTAAATTTGAGTTTGGTGTAAGTGTTAATAGCTTAATTAAATCAACTTCATTTTTACTCCTATTTGTTTAATAAAAATGGAGTCAGTATTGAATTATATTGTTTACATAAAATCTTTATTATAGCTTTCTTAGTAAAATTAAATGAAGAGGCTAATAATTGGAAATCGATTGGACAAACAATTATTAACTTTCTTTCAAGAAAATTGTGACACTACCAGCTCACTATAACTAAATAAGCTTGAAATTAAATATTTTAAGCAAAATCTCAGTATAGCAATTAAGATGATCTCTAATTAAACAAAAAATATTGTATTGTTTAATATTGTTCAAGCTGATGCGTCTATATTGAATGTGCAATAATTATTAACTTTTTATCAAATCCTGATTTGGTCAAAAGTTATTTAAAAATTGCCATAATCAATTCAATTCCAATAAACTATTTACTGCTGTGTATGGAGTCTGATAAATCGCAAGTTTTGGTAAATTTTAAGCAATGGTGGTGGAGTTTCATCCAACAATTCATTATTTCCCTCCCAAAATATATTTATTTTAGTTATACTTTTTGTTAACATTTATTTGCGGAAAATAAATATATCTTTAACACGCGTTTTCATAGATTTTATTGTATTCTTTGAAAGGGGTGCTTTTAAATGAGACAAGTGAGATTTTTGGTCGACTTAAATACAATAACTGATAGTGCAGCTTAAGTTCAAGTTTGATTTTTAAGCCATTTTAACCTGATCCCACTTTACTGCTCAAAATCCGTGTTTTGACGATCCGTCACTTTCAAGACGAAAAATCAAGCACAGATTCAAAGAAAAAAACTTTTGACGCGCGATACCATCGACGCGTGCAGCATTTTTCCTGCGTTTCGAGGAAATTCCAGCAGCGTCCGGAACGACCGAGCCAAGGCCGTCTTCCAAGTCAAAGCCGCTTTGACAAAATCCACCCATTCATTCATTCGTTCGCGGGGTTGAGCAACCCTGGCCGCGAGCTGTAGTGAGTGACGGGCCCATTGAGAGCTTCTCTTGAGGATCCACGTCGCGGCTGCCGCGGCTTGACCTCGCGCGCGCCGCGCCCGTCAATGAAAACAAAAGCACTGCAGCTCAATGGACTGCTGCTCGGTAATATTTATAGGCTGACTGTGAGTGAGGGCACTCCTTGTTGTGACCAAAGCCGAGGGCGCGGCCCGTCTTGCCATATTCCCTCGGCAGCCACGCTCCCAGTCTTGAACGGGCGCGCTATCGAACAGCCCATCTCGCGCTCGCCAAACGGAAATTTTGTATTTTATTTTGTTTGTCCGGCAGGCCGAGATCATCGATATGTTTTAAGGGAACCGTTGTTTCGTTCTCCTCCGCCCAAATTGTAGTAGAATATAAAAAAAACGGTCTGATGCGTTTATAATTACATACGGAGAGACCTAAACTTTGGCCGAAATAGAATGAAAAAAATGGTCATAAAATAAAAGAGGCTGCTGCTGGTATTGATTTCTCCCTGCAATTATTTATTAGGGGCTCCCTTTTTATATTCCACACCTGGGCCTAACCCGGACCTTTGTGGGTTTAGGCAAAAAACCAGTTTTGTTTTTATATATTTCAACCCTTTCCTTGTTCTCCACGAGCTATCTCGGTTCAATCTTTTCTTTCTCTCTCTTGACCGGAGCTATACGATTTTTTAAATATTTGTTTTCCTTCGCCTATTATATATTTTAACGCGCAATTTTTCGCAGACTGAGTCACCTTTCTGGCTACGACGCATTTGAAATAAAATGCTCTTTTAACCATCGGTTGTGTTGCGAGAGAGCAGATAAATAATAATAATAATAATAAAGGAAGAAAAAATCCGCGCGCGCAGAGATCTCGAAAGAGAAACTGGAATAGGACGCCGCGCACTTTGTATTATTTCACAATGGAATGAAGAGCGGCCAGGCATTCTTCTGCTTCTTCTTATGTGTGTGCCCCGTTGAGAAAAACGCGCGCGGTCTTTTTATGTAACACACACATCCACACTCTCTTCTATCGCATCCTTTTCTTCTTGAAACCGTGTACGTGTGACGGCCGGCTATACTATTCAAGGAGTGCTGTTGAAGAGTGCTCTCGAGATTGAGAATGTAGTAATCGGTTTGGGAATACAAAAAGAGAGACTGCTGCATCTCTGAAAGGGTCAAAATTTCCTTTGAATTTCTTTAATACATCAAAGTCAAATGCTTATCATGATTCAAAAATGTATATTTTGTGAGAAATAGAAAAATTGATTTAAAAAATGCATTTAAATTTTAAATTTAATCGGAGCTAAAGATTAATTTCTTAAGCAGTGTAAATATTTTTTGAATCTTTCAATTGATTTAATTTTTTTAAAGATCAGCAAATATATTTATTTTATAAAAAAAAAAATGTGTGTAGAATGCGGATGTTGAGAAGAAAAATTTTGTTCTCTCACCATCAAATTTCCGGAGTGCAAGGTACTGCACGCGGCAGACACATCAGTTGTTCGCAACAATTATTATTATTTATTATTTCGCGATCTGCTAATTACACGCGCCGCAGCATTTCCTGCCTGCTGTGTATACGCGTTTTGTTTTTATACATTTCACGACAAAATATAATATATAAAATGCAGACGCCGGCTGACAAGAAACAAGCAAAGAGTTTGTTATATGTCTCGTTTGCGCCGGATGCAGGACGCGAAAAATTTCTCTATTCCGTTTTTCCTTTCGAGTGCGGCTAAAAGAGCGTTGGCAGTAAAGTTGCTCTTGATGACGAGCAGGTTATTTTTACAAGGAAGTGCGCTGGCGACTGCGCTGCTGTTGTGTTATAATTACGCAATTCTGCTGTTCGGCCCAAAAGAGCAGACTCGGCAATCACGGCGTTTCCACCTGCATATACGGCCAATTTAAAGAGGCAACGATCGGCAATTTCGCTGCCAATTTAGCTTCTCTGGCAAATCAATGGAATATTATTGCTCATTCAATCGGATTGTGCCTGGCCTTCACTTTTTAAAAAGGGAAGGCATATTTGTTATAAATTAACAATTCTAAGAAGTGAAGAACTTTTTAACTTGACCGTTTTGAATTCTGCGTTTTTTGTGTCTTTTAAGTAATTTTAACAATTTGATAAAATTAAGTCGTGATTTAAAAAAAAAAAAAAATTGCTCTGTTATTGGTTATAATTTAAGAAGCCAATTCATTTTATGAGAAGAGGAAATTTTAATCATAAACCCAATTTCTGACCAATAATATGGAGAAAAAAATAATATATATTTAAATTTAAATTAAAAGAAAAACCTGATTTTTAAATTTTTAAATTGTATTTTAAACGCATCCTCCACAAGCTCCAGTTCTCTCTGCTGATCTGGAGTAGAATCTTAACGGAAACTCGCGCGGAGCCGTGAACCCTGCTTGAATAAACTCCTCGACTCAACACTTTGTAGAGCGACCGGATGGAGAAGGACAAAATGCAAGCAGCAAATGAATAAAAAGTACGCGTAATACAGAGGAAAAAGCATAATGTATTCGGATGGAAAGGGGCCTGGCGATGGTGAATGGCTGCGCGCGAGATGTGTGTGTGATTGATGCTGCACGCTTTTTGTGCAGCAGGAAAGGAAGAGATGAGAGAGAAGCTGGAGGAGGAGGAGCAGGCCGGAGGAAAACAGGTGGCTGGAGATCGAACGAGCGAGCGAGCTGGCCAAGCGCTCTCTCACAAAAAAATCCAGAGCAGGAAGCAGAAAAAAAGCAAACACGCCATTGAGAAAACAAACACAAAAACAATCACAGCTCAACCCATTCAACGAACGGCACTCGCGACCACGGCTACAGCAAAGAGCGACTCCACCATAAGTTTTGTTCCAGCAGCGGCACAAGCGAGACACTGAGTTCAGGGGACAAAAAGTTCCCAAAATCACAGTGTCCGGAACGAAATTTAAATGAAAAAAAAACTAAAGTAAGAATGAATGGAAAAAATGAACTTTTTATTTCTCTCTCATATGATCGCTTCTTTACAGAAAAAAATTGATATTATGCTTGAATTAAAATTTGGTTTTTTTCAATGATTTTTTTTAATTCCATCCACTATTTACAATTTATAGATTATTCAATTGCAATCATTGATATCCCTTAAAAAATTTGCTGTAAAAATAAAAGGGAATCGAAAGTTGTGGATGAATAAAAAACTATCAATCTGAGTTTATCGGAAATAAAAGTGCAGCCTAATATCTGATATATGGCATCAGGCAGGACAAATAAATAGGCGCGCGAACAGAGGGTGCATTGATGCTGGAAAATGTGGAGCAAACAGCGTGGCGAGAGATGGTAATAATAAATAGCAGTTGGGGCAGACATGCGAGCAACGCGGGCAAGTGGGCGGAAGACTGCATTAGCCCGAATGAATGGCTGGGGTGTGATTTAAGATTTCGAGTGAGCAGGTAGCGTGAGAAGGCAGGTGTGTTGCTGGCACACGCAGCAGCTGGCGCGACCCGTGGGAACGAGACAGGCCCCCGCGGGGGCGGCACCCACCCCACCCCACCTGCTGCCCCAACGTTGGATATTATTGTGTGCAGCCCAAACAAAACAGACGACAAACGCAAAAACATATATAAGCGGCGCTCTCTGGAGCAATCGCGAATTTTCCTCCAACGGTTTTTTCTCTTTCATCGTCCCCTTCCTTATGTGGGCAGCACACGGCGGTTGTTACTAAAGAATTTCAAATCGAATCATCTCGCGCAGAAGAAAAGTTAAATTTCCAAAGAAAAATATTAAAATTTTGCATGTTTTCCAATAAAAATTGTTCAAATTATATTATTATTTTTTTTTTTAATTTATATAATAATGAATTTTGGACATCTATAAAGTTATTCATAAGGGTTCATAAAATTTGAAAGTGAACAATCAAGATAGATTTATGACAAAATTGAAACTTTGTTAAAAATTTAATTGGGCAACTGAATGCAAAAGACGATCTGCAGTCTTTTATCTCGTGCATATCCATGCTAAGGCAATTTTAATTTTACTGTATTTTTTCATGGAAATTATTCCTCTTTAATGTTTAGGTAAGATTAATATAAAGGAAACCACAATAATATGTTTGTAAAAGAACCATCAGTAGACCCCATACACCTCATGATGTCAAATGCGTTTTTTTTTTCATGTATTCTCCACCAGGTTAGGCCCATACTTTAAACTTTTCTCAACAAAAATTTGTAGTTTGCTAAGTTCAATTAAAATTTTTGGCAATCAATTTCTGTTATTAAAATCTTGGCATTAAAATTTGCTGCAAATTTTTATGAAAATAATCATTCATTTCTATTTCATTTTTTTCCATTAGAATCCCGAAGAAGCCACTTGAAAGGGGAAATAATTAATTAGAAACTTCAATTGTTAAAAAAAATACTTCGCAAGTTATTTAATAAATTAAATACATTTTAGGGATTAAGGTATGCTATCATGCGTCAACCTAGAAATATCAGACCGAAACAAATAATTGTTGTCTTGGTTTAAAAATAAAACCTGAGCTTTTAAATTTATTTGCGTAAAAATGCTTGTTTTTGTTATTTTTTAGCATTATCAAATACCAGCAGAATGTGAAAATTAACCGTTGTTATGCATTAAGAGGAATTTAAAAATAAACACCCGCATTAAGACCAGCAACTTTTTTTAATAATAAAGTTAGCTCGCATTTGTGGAGTTTCATAATAAAAAGCAGGCCAATAATTTGCCATTTTCAAATAAAGCAAAACTTTCTTAAACCTTCCAATATTAATTACTTCAGCGCTATAAAACTTACTTCCAACAGAAATAAAAAATTTTAATTTCAGACGCACATTTAAATCTTTTTCCCACAATTTGCATCACAAAATTGAGAGACTTGTATTTTTTAAACTTGTTTGCTTCTTTGAAACAAGATTTGCCTCCGGAGTTGTACCGGAAACAAGCAAAGCTGTGAGAAAATTGCGTTGCCGTTTCGCAAATCGCGAAGAGAATTCCCTGGTCGGCGTGAGGAGGCGGCAGTTTGGCGCGCTGGACCGGAGCAGAAAGAAAGAGAGAGAGAGGACCAAGGTGCGCGCATCCTCTCCAGATGATGAGGCGCGCCGAGCGCGAAAGCGCGACAAGTGGCTCTTGCGGGGGGACTTGCGGGAATTGGGGCTGCGAAGGCCCCGAGAACTCACCCCGACTTGGAAGAAGACGCGAGCGTTGGTGTGGTGGTCGTCGGCCGGGGGCTGGAGGAGCATGGGGAGGCGGGAGGCGGCGACCCCGGCCCCCGACACCAGCAGCAGCATCAGTGGCAGCATGGCGCGCGTTCAACTCTCTGACTGCCTGAGCGATACTACTGCACCCACCTCATGAATGACTGGGCGAGTCCACTCCGCGCCAGGGGCGGACCGCTCCTTCCATTCATCCGCACCGAATCAATGAACCCGCGCGCCGACGCACTCCACCTGTCGGCACGCACCCGCCGAAACCGCCGCCGACCCCCTCCACTTGCTGATTTTCCAACCAATTTTTAAACTAAATTTGCTAAGAATTATATCACTTCTGCACCATTGTTTTTTCCCCAATTGTTAATACCAAATATTAGCATTGCAAAAAAAATCTGCTTAAAAAAAACAATTTACTAGCACAGACTGTGATAAAACTTCCAGTATCAAAGAGACGATCCTCCGCAGTTTTTCACTTTTATATAATTTAAATTTTGACTTCACAGTTTGAAATTTTATACCTTAGAGTGACGTTTATTTTTGTATACGTATCACCGGCATTATCTTTACTAAAATACGTCAGTTACACATTAAAAAAATGAACGATTGAAAATCTAACTATCTATTAATCACTATTAATTAACTTCTACTCTAATTATAATTGCAAATAGTATGTTTTAAAACAATTATTTAAATGAATCCCCAAACATAAAATACTAGCTGGTTTCTCAAATCATTATTAAAATGTTTTAAATTTGTATTAAAAACTATTTATTTTACTATCCTCATTTTATTGTTTAATAAACTTATGAATTTTATTTTATTTTTTCAATAAAATAATAATAATTAATAATTAATATATCCACAATGCCCGAGGTAAACATTATATTATCATAGATAAATCTTATTCTCTACCTGACTTCGCATTGAAAATGAAAATAACCTGTTATAAATTGCAATGTAAATTTTTGTTATGAAGTTTTTATATATGTTAATGAAACCTTTCGACCCTTCAATTATAACTGCGACAATAATAGTTAAAATTATTCCCTAAATCAATACGATTTTTTTACATATTTAAGCGAGCTAAAAGTTGCAAAATTATTTTGTACGCGTATGATTTTTTAGAACAAATATATAATCTAAATAACTCGTTTTTCGTTATTCCTCATCAAATATTATTATCAAAATTTGCTACGTTCTCATAATAATATATCATAACTGCAATTTTAAATATGTTTTTTTAAATTTCCCCATAGTGAGATCAAGCTTCAACTAATTTTCTTTCACTTAAATATCGTAATAATCCCTGCTCAGCATCTCTCCAATCTACTTGGCAATCTCCCTTCCAAATCTTGCATAACGATTACTTTTTTAATGTATCCAGCCACACTATTATCAGATCACGAGTCGCTTGCTCAAAATTTATGATAATCAACTCTCGGCGCCGAACTGTTTTCTTTTTTTCGCCAGCAAATAAATAACATCATGTTGATCTCCTCCCATATCATCATTTATACACCATTGAACGTAAAACATGCACGTGTGCGTTTATCAAAATGCTACAGTGTTTAACATTTTAATTGCCCCGCAGCAGCAAGTTCACTTTTTACTTTTTATCCGTTCTCTGAATAAAAAAAATTGCACCGAGATGTTTGTCTCAACGCATAAGTTGTAATTACTAATTTTTGCGTGTGTTGAGCTTTTTTATTCACCTTAGAGATGCGCCAGCCGGCTGGTGAAGTTCACCATCAATTTCCCACAGTCGCTGATTTTTCCTGGAACTTCATAAATAATTTATTCTATTGCGCGCGCGAATAGTATGAAGAAGAAGGAGAAGCGGCGCAGACGGACCAGATGGGCCCATTGAATAAAAGTGGAGCAAATTTTGCCTCAAAAACATAAATCGTTGATTGTCTGAATGAGAGGTTATTGTAGTGAAATTTCCACTTTAGTTTTATATGATACGAGATGGAGAGAAACACGGCAGACCAAGATCTCGTGTTTTATTCATACTTTTTTTTCGTTCGTTCAAATGATCCCAATAAATGAGACGAAAATTATCACGCACGCACACTGTTTTTTCTAAAAAAAAAAAAAAAAAAAAAACAAGTATATATTATGTAGAAAGAGGAGAAAACGCGATTATTTAAGACCATCAGCTGTGTGCAATAAACCGCGTGATGTTGATTTTAAAATAATAGTAACGTATAAAACCAAAACCTTATAGACGTGAAACTGCGTTGATTTATTTTTATTTTGAAATTTATAAAAGAAAAAAAATTAAACGATGCTATTATTGAAATGAGTAATCTCAAAGCTTTACAAAACAAAATAACTTTAAGACCCACACCTTAATATGAAAGCACAAATAACTAAAGTTGAATGAAATTGATTTGATCGTGCTGGATTTCCATTTAAATTTAAAGTAATATAAAATTTGATTAGAGAATTACTTCTTAAATACTTAGAAACGGAAGCTGCTATACATATACAGTACTTAAATTAAATTAATTAAATAAATTAATCATATAATGCATATACAACTAAATAAAATTTAAGATATGTATTCATTACAGTTTGTCGTATTAAGGCTGTTTACCCGTGCATGTAAATTAAGTAAAATAAAAATTATTGTAAAAGAAAGTCCATTTTTGCACAAAATGAAAACGTTTTTAAATCTTTAATTTTATATTAAGAACTGAGGAGGGGAATAAATTTAAATTACACACGCCCAAGATGAAAATATGAACATCGAAAAGGATTTTTATATATTAGATTAGATTATACAGATTGTTCTTAAATATTTAAGTATACGCAATTTTAAAATCTTGCCAAGCTTTAAGATTTTCTCATTGGTTTTCATATCGTTTGGCAAAATGAGAGCGAGAGCTGGTGGGCTAATTAATTGTTGGCACGATTGTTGTCAGGTCGGTCTGTGGCAGGCGAGCAAGCAACAATCGGGCGGAGGCTGCTGGAGCCGGAGCGGCGAGTGGCCTGGCGCCACATCCATCAGCAAAAAGGCCTCGGGAGGTGTCTTGGGCAACGCAATGAGGCCACCTGAACACGTTTATGAGCATTGGTTGTCGGCGGGGCGAGCGAGCCAGCGAACGACGACACACGCGGCCTCGTACTTTCGATCCCTTACTTTTTGATTTTTTTTTCTGCACAGAGATGTGCGCGAGCGAGCATTGTTGTCGTGCCAAAAGCTTTTCATCTGCGTATGTCAAAGTCGCGGCGCAGATAGTGCCGGGCGCGATTTATTTTCATTCATTCTGATGCGTGAAAGCTGGGAGCGGATTTGCAGCTCTGACTCGGCGCTTTTCCACCCCAGCACTGATAAATGGGCTTTTAATGAAGTTTGAATGGCGATTGTGCTTTGACTTACACATACACACGTATGTCGTCCTCGTTAGGAAATGTTGTTGATGATCGGATCTGGAGATCGCTTAACGAATCGGCCTTGGTGTGTCAAATAATAAAACGCTCGCTCGCTACCTTAGGGAGGGATTTACAGATCAAATCCGTTTAGCAGGAAAGAAAGCCCAGCTGCCGAGTCGAATCGGGTGACAAAGAGAATGGCAAGATAAAAAAGCTTAAAAGTTTGTAGTGAAGTAATCCCTAAAAAGAGAGACCAAAAGATTAAATTCTGTGGTACAATATTTCTACCCGCTAAATAAATTTTTAAGTTCGGAGAACCTCTGCTGAGCCTTCTGGAAAATGTCTTAAATTTTTATTTAATATATTTTACCTGAGAAACACACAAATTTCCTAAAATTAATGTTATTTCTTCGTCAAATTCCTAAAAAAAAAACAATGTTTTAAATTTAAAATATTGAAAAATGTTTCAATTTTTGAAACACTTGAGGACAAAAAGCACCACCACAATTTTTCCAGCATTTTTCTGTCAATTGCATTCTTGATTACTTATTTTAATTCATTTGTTACTAATTTTCATACTTATTTGATTCCAGGCAAAATGTACGCAGTTCTGGGTCGGCGTCACGGTCGCGTCCTCCACGGTGACCAGCAAGAGGGCTGCGCCACCTTCAGCGTCACAGCTGTTCTGCCTGTCGTTGAGAGTTTTGCTTTCGCTGCTGAAATTCGGAAACAAACATCCGGACTGGCCAGCCCGCAACTCGTCTTCAGCCACTGGGAGGTTTGTCATGTTTTGTTATGCTTTTCATTTTTCCGAAACACTTTATTTTTTGGTTATGTTATATGACATAAAAATTTTCCTAACCTTTTTGCCTTACAATTCAGTTGATTCTGGAGCGATGAATTTGCCAGTGTTTTCATTGAACTTAAATTTCAAATTTGGAACCCATTTATTTAAAAAAATTAACGTAAGTACATTAAAAGCTGGAGAGCCTATGAATTGATAACACAAATTGACAAAATTCAAATTTTGATAAAAAAAAGGCTTTTTATAAGCAATCTCCACTTTCAGTGAAAAATTTAAAAGGCAAAATTCAAGGTTAATTGCTAGTTTGCATTTTTAAAGCCTGAACTTTTAAGTAAGAAATAAAAACATAATTAAACGAGTGCTCGTGGCTCTGCGATTTGAGTTGGTGCTGTGAATCTGGTCCCCAGAGTGAGGCCACGCAATCGCAACAGGTGTCCGGTGACTTTTCGAGAATCTCTGCCTGCCTGCCGAGCACCTGCCTGCCAGGCCGCGTAACTCGGCAGCTCCTTCCCCTTCTTTCCCACGAAGCGCGGACAAAAAAACAACCCATTCAGGCGCCGTCGCCTCCGCGTGCCCCCAGGGCACCCCGGGGGCCGCCCGGGCCCACTCTTGATGCGGCCGCGCCTCTCCAAATAAATCTGGCACACCTCCTGCCTACCTTCTGAATTAAATATCATCCACGCTGGCCTCTCTATCTTGTTATTATTTAGTGCTGGCTGTCGTCTTTTTTTCTCATCTGGCCTCGCGCGTTGTGTTTTGGGTGAAATAGAGGCTTGGGCTGCTGCGCTGGCTGCTTTTTTGTTCGCGGCCTCTAGCTAGCTCTCGATCGAAATTATTATACTCGGGCTGGCTGCTTTTTGCGCGCCTACACGCCGCGTCCGATCTTCGCCTCCGATTATATTCTTCTTCTTCTTCGTTCAACCTCCTGATTTTTTTCCATACAACCGATCGACGCACTACTTTTTAAGTGGAAATTCTGGTCGCGGTTTTTCTCGTTTCAGGAAATGCACCCGCGACACGAGAAATCACTTTTCTCTCTCTCAGAGGAAGTGCGGTTGTTTTATCATTTTTTACACGCGCGGCCTTTTCTGGAAAATACACACAACCTGGCGCCTGGTCCAACCGATTTTGTGTCGCCAGAAACCACGTTTATTATTTTCGTCTGCTGCGCAAAACTACTTTCCGTACACGTTGATGCTGCCGGTGAATTGATCAAAAATTTTATGGTCGCTGCTTAAACGACGCGGGTTTTCGTCACCAACGAGGAATTTCGCTTGACGTCAATCGTGCGATTATTTGCAAGACGAGGTTTACTGTCGGAAATTCAAATGAGCTTCAATGTGGGTCGCAATCAAACTGGTCAGATGTATAAACCCAACATTAAAAATAAAAGTACTTTTACGATCCGTATATAATATTGATTTTGCGCAATATCTCCCTGCTATAAATTGACTTCAAAAAGCAAATTATTTGCAACAATTAATTAAATATGAAAATATTATTAATATAATTATTGGTGTTCATTTATCCCATTTTTATGCAATTGCATTGATTACTTTCAATTTATTCTTAATAATTTTTTATTTTAAAAGGATAAGTCAGGATGTGGCCTATTTTACACGCATTCAAAATTGAGGAATATAATACTGGAATCCTCAAAATTTATCAATTTTGATATAGGGAAAATAATTTTTAGATTTTTTGTTATCCAACAAATAATTTTGGTAATTTTGATTCTATTTTATTCTTTAAATTTTATTGAGCTGCAGTTTTTATGCATTGCAAAGTTTATGTTCCCTTCAAAAATGTATGACGTAATATCTTGAGAATTGACAATTTTATATCTATAACGTTATTTAAAAATTAATTTTGGAATTATTGCTGTACCCATTTTTTGCTTTTTATAGAAAATCAATAAATACTTTTGAAAGTAATAATTTCTTTTGGAAACGTCAGATTCAATTTCCTATGGCATACAGCCTTGTTTTTTTCTGGTATTTTGCGGTTTTTGCGAATGGAGTCATAACTTTTTGTAGTTGCTGCTTCCAGCTAAAGAAGAAACTTTCGTCCGTGAGCATTAAACAGAATTGTTAACAATTAAAGCTGTTCAGCTAGCCATTAGCAGAAATACCGAGAAACCTACATTTTAGATACACCTTAATGACTGACGCGCAAAAAGGATTTTCTGTTATGTACCTGCGACGAGGAAAAATGCTTTACATAATGCGACGTTGAATTGAATCGCGCGTCAATGTTGCGAGTCGCGTGTGCATTACACGTGACTGCCGCGGTTGATTATCAATCGCTTCGCCTCAATTAAAAATACACGCCACTCTTGAAAGCCAACCGATCCCAACATTTTAGAGATTGTGCCTCCGTGAGCACCATATAATTTGCGTCAATAATGCAACAGTTTTTGTTTGTTTTCCATTTTAATTACTCTATAATTATCCTCAAAAATATTTTGGAATTGACTTCCAAATAAGGTTTTAATGAATTTTGATTTGCAGGTTTTGGATGTGGATCCGTTTTGGGCTCCGAGCACAGACGAGGAATATCTGCATTTTGGTGAAAAGGCTGATTCTGGCAACCGAGCCAGGATATACATGGACAGTGTCCGACGGCGAAAAGGCCTTTCAACGGAGCACAAGATCGTCGAGTTTGCCGAAAAGCAGAGGACCCTCTCAAAAAATAAGTGAAAGTTTTTTATTTTACTTTTCTCCTGTTTTTTATTTTTACAACCTATGAAAAAGTAAAAAAGGAACAAGAATATTTTTTTTAATCAAACAAGTTTTAGTAACTTTCAAGCTTATTTTTTTTTAAATACCCTTCCAGAATCATCCAGTTTCAATAAAAAGAAAATAAATATCAATTAATGTTTTCATTGAATTTGCTTCTGTTTCCTCCAGAGGAAACAAATTTTAAATTGCTTTCAGAAAAAAATCAAACAAAGAATATAATTGCGCTAAATAATTATGGGAGCAATTTTCCGAGTGAAAAGTGCTGCTGGTCGTTAACAAATAAAATAAATGCGCGTCGCTTCAAAATCGTTGGCGCTGCTCGGCGATGCTAATTTGCCTGCGAGAATGAGATGAGCACCACTAAAGTAGATAATTTGTCGTTTGACCGGTGTAATAAACCAGCAGCCAAGAGAAATTGATCTTTTCCTGTCTTCGAGGAGCGGCCACGAAACCAATTAATGCCCGTCCGTCCGCCCCGCGGCCTCCAACAACCGTGGCCGCCTCCGCGCGTTCTCCGAGCGACCGCTGGCGCCACTCCCCGTACAACTCTTTAACTCCGTCGATGCTCCCGTGAGTTTTATAGCAAAAGGGCGCAATCTTGAACAAATTTACCAATGAAAATAATTCAAAATTTTGTTTCTTTGAGTAAGATGATGTTGTTATTAGAATTTGTTTTATAATATCAATCAAATCCATTTATTTTTCAAGTTAAAATTTTTATTGCTGAAGCAAGTATTAAAATATTATGTAACCTTCATTGCGAAACTTGAAAATTCAAAATTTGTTTTTAGTTATTTGATCCTTAATTGATAACTCAAAATTTCACGGCACTATCATTGACTTACTTTACTTCTACAAAATTTTGCATACATGCTAATCCAGCTTATTGTTTAACTAGTAACACATTAAAAGTTTACTTTTACTTTTCTTAACAATATAACTTTTAAACTTTAAAGCATTATATTTTCTTTATGATTCTAATTATCAATTGTAACCTATTTTATCATTTATATTTTTGAATATATTTCAAAATATCTTCTTTTTTTCATAAATCATATAGATTTAAACTTTAATTGTGGCATAATATCTTTAAATCAAATAAATTTAATTTTTCTTTATATAATTACTCTCAAGCATATTAAAAGTTGGTATAAGTTGAAATAATATTTTTTGCTTCAATTACTATGTCTCATTAATCTTGCGTTACTTGAATTATTACAAATATGAAATAGAACCAAAGTCTATAAAATCGAATTGCCATTTCAAAAGCGCCTTGGCCAGTCTAGAAATCTTGTTGAAATTGAAGATTTGATATCATACATTCTATGGATCTATTTGCAATTCAACACCAGGCAAACACCAAAATAATTCAATAGAAAAAAAACCATAATCTTGTTTTGTATTAGATATTTTGTTACTTGCACGACTAAAATTGTTAAAAATGAATTTGTTATTGCATTAATAGCACAGGTACCGATAAACAATACAGCACGTCCACAAAATAACAAGATTTAAGTTAATATCAACAGCATAATAGTCAAATTCGTCATTCCATTCGTCTATCTTTAATATTTTATAATTCTATAAAGCATATTGTATTAGGTAAGGAATTCTCACAGTTTCATTATTCCAACTGTAAATTTTCCGTTGAATGTCCAGCGTAAAGGAAAACCAAGACAAATCGCTAATTACGTGGGAAAACTGACCGCGGTTCGAGTGCGTGTACCAGAGTGACCCGGAATAAGAAATACTTTCTAAGTGCATGGCCAAATCACCATAATTTTGGGAGGCAGCGGCGCCTTTGCTGCCTTTAATTCTGAATCGAAAGTGGGTGGCCGCAAATTAAGCGTCTAGCCCAGCCGTTATATTATTATAGATCTGTAATATACACATCATTTGCCCACGTTAACATTTTACCTATTTTTATATAATAATTTAACCTAAAAAATTGGTGAGGTGAAAAAGTGTGACGAATTTTTATTGAAATGCAAATTATTTTGCAATAGTTTGTAATGATATACCATTAACTCTGGAAAATGTTTATTTCTTGTGAGAATTTCCTTGTTTAAGCATGAATGTAGATAGAATCAAAATATTTTTCAGAGTCGAATTAATTTTATTACGCATTTTCTGAAATAGATTTTTCTTATTTACTTCCGTTTTTATTGTAGTGTAATAATAATATTATATATTTTTTAATAATAATGAAAAAGCACTTTGCAGAGCTTAAGTTGTAATGAACGCTAGAGCAAATTAAAATAGAAAGTGCCGAAAAGCTTTTCTTCCACCAGTTTGCAAATTTTTTCCCAAAAACTTTAAACAATTAGATCTGAAAACCGGCTAATAATTTCCCTCATTTTCACTTGACCTTGGAGGAGAGATAAACTTTTACTTATTTTTATTAGACGGTTCAATGCACCCAATGGTAATGAGAACGGAAGTGTGGTGCAGCCTCAGAAATTTACAACTGCAGGCTGCTGCTGGGAAGTGCATAAAGTCCCACAGGGTTATTCGAGAGGACGAAATTTCGTAATAAATATTTTCGGAAAAATAAATAAATCACGATGATGACACGGGTGTGTTGCTCTCTCGTTGTAAATTAGCGCGAGAGCTTAATTTCTCTCTCGTCAGGTGGAATTTATTTCGTGAGCATGTTTACCGGCGTCACATTGTTGTTTGTTAATCAGCTGGGCCTCGCCCTGGCTGTCTCCGCCGCCGCTGTCGTCGCGCGGGGCTATTTATTCATATTTGTATGTACACGAAATCTCTGTTTGCCCGAGCGAGGCACCAGAGCCACGCAGATAACGCGCGCGCCCTCCAATCTCTCCCATGCACTCTTTCGCATCATCGCGCACCGCGAGACACTTGCACTTTAATTTACGACCCACACACACCCCCACTCACCCTCCCTCCGGTCCAGCGCGTCTCGCCGGTTTGCTGCACCGCACACTAGAAAAATCTTTTTTCCACTTTCTTCACTTGATGTATACAATCGGTTGTTATTTTAAAAAAATAATTCTTTTTTGGGCCCAAAATTGTGCTAATATTCAATTAATTTCTTTTTGGCTTAATTAAAAGTGCCTAACTAGTTAAGCTAAGAAAAATTGTAGGTAAATTAGGTGATTTTAAGTGAAGTTTTGTTCTTAAAAATAGGTTGAAAAAAGGTGCATTTAATCAAATATATACGGTGTACCATGAGGTCTTGTAAATATTAAATTTAAATATAGTAAAATGCAAGAAGTTCTGGTATTGGTGGAAAAAAACCAATTTGAAATTTTACACACAGTCTTGAATTTCGCTATTACAAATATGAAGATTCATACATGATCCTGGATTTTGCAAAAAACGTATTTCAATTTTTTTTTTCGAATTCCTCGATTACTTTGCGTCACGACTGGTGGTGTTTTTAATTTGACATACGTGACATTAAATCCTGGATTTTTAGAGGGTTACCAATTTTGTCAAAATAAAAATATTTAGTAGCACAAAGTTAATACAGAATCCTGTGCCTGATTTTGATATTTCGTCATTTGCATAGCTGTATACCTTTTATAAATTTTTTCGTTCAGTTGCAGGTCATACGGTATGCACGTATGCATTATATTTTCCAAAGAACATAATCCCAGGGAGATAATTCCAAATTATTGATTTTAATAGAAACATAAAAGCCATAAAAGATATTATTACAATTATTGTTATTGTTTAATTAATATTTTCTTGTTAATTTGCAGCATCTCGTACACGAGAGTGTTCAATGAAATTATTAAAATTAAAAAGAAAATCAATAAAATAATCAAATTTTGTATAATTATGTTAGGATTTCTATGCAAATTAGTTAGATTATAAGGGTCACGCCTTTCTTTTCAACAAATGAATAATTCTCTCCCACTAATGCTATTATTTATTTTTTTTTATATTTAATGCTCTTGCAATAATAGGAATAATAAATGAATTTGTTCAAATAATATCTCGTTATAGCTGTGTGTGCTGGCTGCTGTCTCCCTATATTGATCCGCAGCGCCAGTATCGCAACACACCCTAGCGGCCACTGTTCGAAGTACGTGCACGTTGCGTTTCGCTCTCCCCTTTCCTGCTTTCCAGGCGCTTCCCCATAAATTCTGAGGCCAAATTCACAATTATTTCGCATATCCGGACCGTATCCTATCAAATTTTAGCTCGTTTGTCTCAAAACGAGCTGCTTCCGCGTAGCGCTAATAAATACTTTCATTCGTTGCCCTTTTGCATCAACGTCAGGTTGGCCGAGCGGTTTAAGGCGCCAGACTTAAGTTCTGGTTCCCGAAAGGGAGCGTGGGTTCGAACCCCACACCTGACAAACCTTTTATTTTGATGCAGCACGCTTTTTTGGGTCTCCAGTGGATTCACAATTTATTTTAATCTGGAGAAAATTGTATTTGAAGTCGAGAAATATTGACTAAATTTTTATTTCACATTAAGAATTCTTACTAGCACACTTATGAAGAGTATTTTAAACATGCTGTAATTTCATCTAATATAAATATTAATTATCATTTGCAACAGAAAAATTATATTTTTGTTATTTAACTAATATTAATTTAAAAAAAGGGGGAGCCTCATAAGTTCCAATTATCAATAAGTTAAAATTTGACAATTGATGCGTTTTTTTTCACTCGCACAGTTGTCTCAATCATTTTCTTTCACTCATTATTTGCCATTGAAAACATGCAGGGCTGTCAGACTTTTACTTGGCATTTAACTTGAAACCGGTTGAAATTTCGTGAAATCTCTCGCTCCGCAAAGAGGAAAACGAGAGACAAAATTGTTTTGTGCGGCGACGGAGAAAAAAGTGAAGATTCTCTCTCGTGCCTTCTTATTTTTCGTTAATTGGCGCCTGAGATAAGACGAGGAGGACACGGAGGCAGTGCTCGGCGCGAGCTGCTTTATCAGCCCATAAATTGCCTCAATTTAATTTATTGTTTCCCACGGCGGGCTTTTATCAACGCACACAAACACGCATCTTCTCTCACTAATTCCCGATTGGTCTGCACAAATTTCATTGACCCTCGGCCACAAATTTTCTGCCAATTAACGCCTTTTATGGCTTCTTCATAGCTTTTTTACAGCAGATTTGCAGAAAGAAAGAGATAAGACCGAAAAATATGATTAATATATTTTTTTATCACACGTGCGAATATTATTTTCTCTTCATATCGTTTTACAGAGAGTCATGGGATTTTATTGCTTTGGGATCTGGTGAAGTCCGGATAAATAATAACAACACTTTAGAAATTCAATGTCACACAAACTTTTACAAACGAATGCCAGCCAGCGTTATCAACGGGAAACTTTTACGGCATCTTCTAGGAAACTCGGGGCAATAAAAATGCCTGGAAAAGAAAATAAATATCAAGCACAAATTCGGCAACTATTTTCTCAAATATTTTATAATTTTTATCTCTTGAATAATGGTTATTAATGCAAAAGTCATAAAAATTGGCTCTTGAATATTTCGCACTGGCCAAAGGTGTTGAGGATCCAAAAGTCATTCCATCCGATGGCCTTGGACCACAAACAACTATAAATGGGCTCCATATCCAGCTGTCGGGCAATAAATCAGCTCAACACTTTGGAAGATTTTTTGCATCGTCCTATCTGCTGTTTATAAATTAATTAATGATCCGCAACACTTCGACGCTGAGTAAGTAAATATTCTTCTTCAAAAATCTTAAAACTATAAAAAACTTCTGTTATTTTTTATTTTTTCAATATTGACAAAATCATTGAGTTGCAGCGCCTCGTGGCGTGACCCCCTCTCGAGCGTGGTTTTCCCGCGCGCTTCAGGGTGCGCCCTTTGCTGGTGTGCTCCGCACGTGGTGCTCATCTTCGGCAGCCAGAGGAGAGGGCCTGGATTTGCATGCATGGAGGGGCGGAGGCGGAGGGGGGCCTGCCCGACCGCCAGATGGGCCTCCAGTCGTCGACAGCCTGCCCTCCGGATCGGGCCTCATGACCTCCGGAGGCCTGCTCTTGTTGCTGCTGGCGCTCGCCGGGGCCGCGCCACAACCCCCAGAGGTTTCACCGTCAGGGTGAGTACCAAGATTCTATATCAAAACAATTTCACCCCCTTTCGGAATATCAATTTTTATGTAATTCCATTCAGAGGAAAAAATCAATTTAATTGTTTATCAACAAAAAAATACCAGTTTTCCTCATTGATTGTTATTATCTTTTTGACGAGCTCAAGTTAAATCGAATTTTCCTTGATGACGTTTAGAATTGAAGATCAGCCTCTTAAGTATCATCTCTTTCTCATCATGAATAATAACATTAATAGCCTTTGTAGTGGCACTTCAGAAAAGGCACAATTGATTCATTAATGAGTGCAAATTGATAGTTTTTTTTTTATTTAAGAAAAGAATAAAAAAAAATCAAATTTCAAACTATTTTGTAATTTTGTAAATTTAAGAATGATTTTTTTACATCTTTTGGTTTATTTTCCTCAATCTTAAATTTATTTCGGATTATAATATTTAAAAATTTAATTCAATGCCTTTCAATACAAATTGACTATAATAAAATATCCGAAATCGATCTCATCAGGACAGTTTATAATTAAAAATCTCATAAGCCAGTCAGTGCCCAATTACCAATGCACAACACATGCCTGTGCGTTAAATCCATGTAATCGATTCGCTCAATTAGCACATCATGTGCATCCTGGGCTGATGGGCTCTTTAATGCTGCTCTGCCGGGGAGCTCGACTATACCACCGACTTCTTTCTCATGCTGCATACTTATGCAATTGCTCATTACACTTGCAAACTTAGTACAGTATATGTTAGCCGGCAATTACACTACTTACATTTTTTTTTAAATTTAATCCACTGCTTGTAATAAAGTGGGTCGCATTCCTCGCCCTCGAGTGCAACAATGGACTGCATTGTTGTCGACGAGATCTGGCAGTGTTATCTGAAAGAAGTCTGGTATTTTCTCTACCACAAAAGTCAGGAGCTCTGGTTTCTCAGCTACTTGCACTATTTTATCTAAGCATTTTTATCACTTTAAATAAATAATTGAAATAAAGAACTTCAAAGGACTAATTTAATTTAAATATCATTATAATTAAATTGAGAATTACATAAGTGTTCCTTATCATTATAAAACATTCTGAATTTGACATTCATTCTTTCGAAGAAACTGCTTTTTTGTAGTTTGTCAATTTTAAAAACAACTTTCTGTGATTGGGGGTCAGCCAAATAATTTGAGGTTATTTTATGACTAAAATTAATGATTATTTTATTAAACTTGTACCAGCAATGATCATAATTTACTTGAATTAACCTAAAGCCCTGATTACATTTGTATTAATTGAATTTGACAGATGATTCAAACCGTCTCACGTCAGTTGAGGAAAACAAGTAACACCGAATTACACCGCCCCTATCCATCTAATTGTAAGCGTCGAATTCAGGCCGGCATTTATATTCATATGAATGTTGGCTGCTTTTGATTGTTTGTTTTGTCCCGAAAGTTATTAAAATCGTTGACCCCGGTCGCAGTCTGGGGACGAGAGTTGACTCGCAGAAGTGTTATAATAACGCGCCGAGAGGAAAGAGTTGTTGGTCAGCAGCGCAGCCGGCCGGTTAGTTTGTAGTTCGTTAGTTGTTGGTCCAACAATCCAGCTGGGATGTGAACAAATTGAGTCATTAAGTGGCGTACAGCTATAGTTATTTATCTAGAGACCACTTCTAACTAGCACTTCTCTGCACAAGCAAACGCGTGTTTTAAACCTCACAACCATTTCATTCAACGCGTGCCGCGGTATTTTTCCTTTTTGGAGAAGAGAAAAAAAAATTCCTCCATAATTTTTAAATCCATGCGCGTTTTTTATTACTTACGAGTCTGATTTCTTTCCCCGTTCATGTTTTATTACTTTACTGCTCGAAAAAAAATTAGTTCCTCCTTCAAGTTGTGCCTCGTTATTTTTCTTATACAACCCTAGAGTCTTATATTATATTTGACGCATTTATCGAAGTGAATTATGTAAAATATGAACTGAGGATTGTGGCGAGAACACACCTTTGCAGAAAAGTGCTCGAGATCGGCAAAGTGGGAAAAACGATAGGCAATATTTATTGACTTTTTAGTCAAACGCGGGGAGAAATAAGAAAGTGTTTTGCTCTCCTAGAGCTAGATAATTGCCATCAGTAAACAACCAAAATCTGGTTTCCTCTCAGTATATAAATAACAACTTGATCTTACTGCGAAAAACTAGACCTATTAGAGGCAATACTGGAGAAATAGCTGCCAATACCTCGGTGAGGAGTTTGTCACTTAGTTTTTGTGTGAGTTATGGTCCTTTTAGTAAAAGTTGATACGTGATTTGGCAGGTTTTAAGATTGTATTTACAATGTTGCCCAGATATTTATTACATTGACACGGCTTAAAACCTTTTATAATAAAATATATATTATTAAAAATACTTACCTATATATCAAAAAAATATGTGCTCTTTTCACATGATAATTATATATTTTTATTACATTAATTTATAAAAATAAATATTTTTTTATTAATTGATTTTCCAATTTTTTCCTCATAGTTCAGGCTTGCAATTTTAGGAAGAAAATCAATTATTTTGGTTTAAAATATAGTTGATAATCTTATATATTTATGACTCACTCAAGATAGAATAAATTTACTGTAAAGAAAATTTCATTCTCTTTTCGTATTTTGCGGAAAATAATTATGCAATTAAATCAGAGAAACGAAGGAATTGAAATCAAAAGATAGAGATGCATAAAAAAATTTCTTCTTGCGCTATGTTTTCAAGAAGTTTGCATTTACAAATCGACTGACTTGTACAGCATTGATTGAAAATATATGGATCAATAATTATGGATGATCTTTTAATGTTTCTGACTCTATCAACCTTATAATTTATAATATTTTACAAACAGTACAAACACCTGTTTAAAAATTTTAAACTAAATTTTAAATCAATTTGGTCGTTATTAAATAAACGTCTTGCTGTCTCAAGAAATGTGAATGGCAGAGCAAATTCTCATCAACAAGTCATCTGGCGAGCGTTGGGCCAATAAATTCGCACCTTAATTGAGAGTCTCCGAGGCGAAAAAGAGGAGAATCGAAATGATCTCACTACCACCTTTGGCTAATTTATTTTTATTTCGCCGCCAGATTAATCACCTTTCTTCTCTTAACGGGCGTGATGATTAAGATAATTAAGCCAGATTAATTACGGATTAATTTACAACGCTTCACGGAATGCCATCGCCGATCCGTCAGATTCCATTTTATAAATAATTTGGTTGCGATTTTTTCTCCTCCGTCGTGGCCGGTCCAGTTATTTGTAATTGGCCGATCGAGATAAATGCTCCCGAGATCAGCACCGGCTCATCTCTCTCAACCTGCCTTCTTCTCTTTTAACTTAAAATTTTTACTCTCTCAGTTGTGTGCGTGTTCGTTTGTAAGCACATTCATACGTGAGAGGCCAATCGACTCAACAGGTGTGTTGGTCTGTTGTGAGAGCATGAAAATAAATCTTGAAGGGCCGACACACCCACATCAATGCATCTAACATAAAATTAAATTAAAAAAAAATTTTTAATTTTGTATACTTTTACTTACCAGTAAAAAATAGAAACATCTATTTTAATTTTTAAAATTGTGATAAATAATTTATAATTAATTAGGTTTGTTGAATATCATCATTGAGCAGGTTCAAATTGAATATTTTACTGTTTTGAAGATTTGTTCTATAAAATAGAATTGATTAAAATTTATTTTTATTAATTACAAAAAAAAGTTAAAAAAAAAACATTGAACTTATATATTAAATTAAATTATCACTTTTTCATATAACAAAATTGAGACTCTAATCCAATTAATGAAGATGAACGGCAAGGATAATCCCTGCTTAATAGTTTGATATTATTAAAGCCCTTAATGAGTCATAAAATGCAAATGGCCAACGATTTTATTGCAATCGGCGCGTCTTGCTGTGCAAAAAAAGCTCTCGTGCACATTAAAATCAATTAAATCGGCGCAACGGAATAATTACTGTATAAAATATTGAACTTGGGAGGTGCGCGCAATTCGCGTCGGGGAAGGGCCCATAAAACGGAAAAATCGCCGCTGCAGGGTGGTGCGCGGAATTTGTGTTGCGTAATTTTGTGTGTGTGGCTCAATTAGAGGCGCGGTTTTTTGTTTTTATTGCTGGCTGGCGTTAATTTGAATAATAAATTACGACGAGAAAGAGAGACGACGAGCGGCTGCCGAGGCCGCTTTTTTGTTCTTTGCGGTGCCGAGCGCGGCGGCGTTTCCCTTTTCATTCTCAGCGCCAGATGAGATATTAAAGTGATTGGCGATGCTCTTGAAATGCATTTTGAATGGCCCATAAAATGGACGAATTCCTGGCCGAGTGTCCGATAAGCGAGCAAGAAGATGAGACCCATATGCACCAGCGCGGCCTAGGGCCCTCTTCGAAACGGGCCCCTCGTAAGCGATTTCCGTTTTATTGCCCGCTTCGATCCAAAGAAATGAATAAAAATTAAAAGCTAATGACATTAAATTGATTTTCCCGTTTGTTTGCACTAAAAGGTGATGCAAAATTTTGACAGAATAAAAATTAAAGGTCAAGAGATCAATGAAGCCACTCAAAAGTTTCACGTTTCATTAATTATAAAAAAAAAAATGTATTCAAATTACACAGGTGAATTTAAGAATAGAAAAGTCTGAAGGTGGGGTTTATGTTTGCTATTTTGCCCTAAAGCCTTTCCAAAAGAAGAAAAAGTTACTTTAGTAAAAGTGATCACAGGTAACAATCAAATATTTACAATTTCACTAGCAGAAAATAAATTAATTAAAAATATTTTTAACTGCAAATCCGTAATATACATTTAACAGTGAGCGAAACTTTGAGATAAATAATGTGCTCCACCCTCTCACAGAAGTTGAAGATTACGTGTTTATAGCGCTCCTTGATGGGGGCACCACAACCGCACGGACCGCACTGTTTGTTTTATGAACTCTTTATTCTTACAAATCGACCTGTCAACTTGAAAATACGGTGTTTTACATTCAAATCAAAATGGAACAAAATACTTAAGCTCTCACAAGATAATGACCACAAAAGGTAACAAATTGTTATTTTGAATCGAGTTTCCAACTCAAAACAAGTATATCGATAGCTACAGTCAATTCTATCAATTTCTATTTTCAAACCACATTTTCATGTGAGGTTGAGGGTTTTTGAACTCAAACAGTAAAATAAGAGGTTGAACATAAAGCTTTTGCAACAGGAAATTAAATTTATTAAAACCCTTGAATTAACCTCTAAATGAATCTATTTTAAATTTCAGGTACAATTAACTGATGATAAATTTCTAAGATTATCTACTGACAATGAACTGCAGCATTGAATAATAAAATAAACAAATTTTAACTTACAATTAGGAGAGGCAGCAATTATTGTAGGTTTTATTTTCAGTCAGCGCAGGTTAGTTTTCTCAAAAAATGTATTTTTCCCCCTAAAAGTTACTCTAGAATTCTTAGTTGTCTGCGAAAAGATTTCTTGTATCTATTCTGCTGATCTGCATAATTATTTAACCAGTAAGCGGTGCTGTCTGTGAGGCGTTGAACTGCCACTTTTCATTTTGACGAATATTTAATAGGCGAGCACACATTTTATTTCTTTCGTTTGATTTGAAATCGGGCGAGAGTGTTGGCGTGAGAGCGAGCGTGTTTTGACGGGCCACCGACTTGGAATTGAAAAAAACGCGCCGAGTATAAAAATGACCCGCAGCGCGCCCATCAATCACCCCGGACGGCGTAATTTGGTATGCAAGGAAAGGAGCGCGAGAGCGTCTCTCTGGGCAGCTCGCGAGAAAAGCGGTAGCCAATTTGCGTAACAACCGCACATTCACTCGCCGCACAGATGGACACGAAAATTGAGAATTTCAAATGCTGTATATACATATTTGCCCACGGGCGCTGGCTCCAATTTTTGTGTCACATTCCACTCGCGATTGCAGGAAACAATAACACACTTCAAATTTACACTAACTTTGCATTACAATCCAAAATTAAAATTAGTGTTTTTTTTTCAAACTTTGACAGGGAGTTTCAAATGATATTGGAGTGATTTAAAGAATTTTTTTCTTTCTTTAAAACTTCTTGACAATTTTTTAACTCATGAACCCACAAAACTTCAGCTCTCTCACACCGTTTCAGTAATCCACAAATATTCATAAGCTCTGAAACTGAAAATAGTAGACAAAATTTGGTTCAAAATTCTTAAATTTAACAAACACTTATTTGTATTTTTCGATAAATTATGAACCCTTATTTTGCTGTGATCATTTTTATTATTATTTATTCTACTCAGTAAAATACAGAAATTTGGATACGTTATTAAAAAAATATGCGAGTTAATTGAAATGGATAATAGTAAAATTTGAATCAAACTAATTCATCGCTACTAAATTTGAAAATAAATAATCTCTTATCTTTTGAAACTTATTAATTTTCTTCTCTTTCTCGCAATACAGGATTTCATACATTGACTAAAATTGCAAAAGGGAGTGGTTCGTTATTGGCACATTTTGATGGACCAATGAAATAATATGAGTTGAATTGCTTTACTTTTACTTTAAATTTGCTTACACAAAATATAATTTTAAAATTTTTTTAAACTAAATTTAAAATTATATTAATATCAAACAATCGCTTTTTTTGAATAAAATAAAATTAATATTATACTATTTATAATTTTTTGAATTATTTTCATAATTATATTTAAAATAACGAAAAGGGTGAGGAGGATAAAACTTATTTTTGACTTAAACTTTATGCAAAAACATACTTTGTAGTTATTTATAATGTTGTACTTGTACACAGTAAAAATTCATATTATGCTCTACATGAGAACTCTTTTGGTGTGACTTATTTCGAAAAAGAATCACATTAATTATTTTGTAATTATATTTTTTTCTCTCACAGTTTTTGGAAGAACGAAATGTATCTCATGTTAGTATGTTTAAAAATAAATTTGAATCTTAAAGTGTAAAGATCAGAAGTGGTTGCATTCCTTTTACAGAAAACTGAAATGATGCACTTGAAGAAAAACATTCCATAATCGCATTTTTGTCCCTATAAGAATATGTGTACTTAAACCACCCAAGAAAGGCGCCTAAGCTTGATGAAAATTCTGACGCCTTTTCCACTGTACTTTTAATTATGTAATCCTATTTTGGTAGAAATTCTGTCATCGCTCAGTTTGTCTGGCTGGACCAATAAAATTATGTCTTGCTCAACGTGAGTCGACAGTTTTTCTCGGCTGCATTAATTTCTGTTTTCCTCCGAGTCCCAAAATCCTCTCTTTTCGAGCGGCCCAAGGTTAATTCGCGTCGTCGCTTTGCATAATTATCTAATTGAAATTCTGATTTACGCTACAAATAAGGCTGGCCAGCAGGCGCTCGGCTGATTTTCGGCAGCCGCAAATAAAATTAAATAACCCCCATCTCTCGCTCAGTACGTTCAGTTAGCGTCACCAGAGACTCGCGTTGGAGAGAGAAAAATGAATGAGAGAAAAATAATGAAAAAAGGTGGGACGGAAAATTCGAATGCTTTTGAAGTGGAGCCGCCGTGTGCTGACTGGACACTTTGACTTTTTGTTCGCAATCAAAGAAAAATGACCATTGTGATAGGGTCTTCTATGCCGGGCAGACAATTTATACAAAGTCTTATTGCTGTGTTATGATTTATTGTCCCCTCGGGTCCGACGGCATTCGCCACCTTGTTGTGCAACGTTCGTTAACAACTAAAATCTAGGTGGCAACGGAGCAGTTGATTAACAGGGTTTTCACATTTTTCAGGCCGAATGTGTGCCGCAGCCGATCGCAGAGCCACTGCTGCCCGGGATGGTCCCAGAGGCCAACTACGGGACAGTGCATTGTCCGTAAGTACCATTTGAAATTCAATATAAGTTTAATTATGCATAAACAAGATTAATATAACCACTTTTGTTGACTCTTGAAGATTTTGAATTTTACTTACTTTTCTTAATAATATTTTAAAGTAAAAGTATTAACCGTATTACAATATTTAGAGGATTTTACGTGGTTTTAATGGAACTATGCAAGACAAACGTGACTTTAAAGTTCAGTAAAACCACAATATTCTTAAACATTAAACCCTGAAACCGCTTTGCACTTTACAACACACAGACACTACTTTACAGACAAAAAAAACACGCACACTAGCAACAATTTGACGTATGTATTTAATTCATTTACTAAATGCCATATGCCATAAATTAAGTAATTTGAAAGATAACTTGAATCAATTTGAGATCTATAACTTTTTTATTTTCATATTTTAATTTAAAACTATAATTATATAGCAGGTTAAAAAATTATAAAACTCTTCAAGCAACAGATTGTATCATAATACAAATATGATGTGAAACAATTATTGTTAGGCTGGATCAATATTATTTTAAATTTTAATGATTTATACACTTATTTCAAATTAAATCATATCAGTATACGTAATTAAAAATATAGATTTTTAAAACTACCTTGCAAAAAAAAAAAAAAATAAATAAACATATAATAAATTATAATATGAATTTTGGTTTTACAAAATAATGTTATGTATAATTAATATGATTTTTTATTTAATGTTAACAAAATAGTTACAATATATTCCTTATATTTAACAAAATTTTAGTCAAATTAATGATAATCGTAGGACAAAACGTCACCACCACTAGCAAATATTTTGCTAAAGCATCTGGGATCAAAAATACTATGAAATTAATTAACCATTAATTAACATCAACATTTATATCTTCTATCTTCTTTTGACCCAAAAGTTGAATATCTAATTAAACACACAATTATCTTTTCAGCAATTTGTACAAGGTCCTGCGGGCGAAGTGGGCGCTGCATCAAGCCCAATGTTTGCATGTGCGAAGGTGGTCAGCTCGCCACCTCTTGCAACGGCCACCACCATCAAAACGGAGGTCATTACAACGGAAACCAGCTCAGCTATAACCTACCGCAATGTAAGTACAAAATTATTAAAAAATTATATTTTTCTTAAATGATTTATTCCCCTCGGTTGATACAAAGTTTAAAAAAGTGGACATTTTAAAATGGAAATTTTCTAGAAATTAAAAATTGCGACCCAATATTTTCCATTTCTAATATTATTTTACTGGCCAACATGTAGAATAGTATTCAAGGGAAAACAAGTTTGAAACGCAATCAGCTGTGATGAATTTTCAAGCTGATTTATTCACTCTCCACATTCTTCGTCAAGAGATCTACTTACTTAAAACAACTTGCAACACGCACCGCACTTGTGTCGGAATTAATTTTATGTCTTTCTCTTCATACAATATTGCATTTCGTCGAGCGCAGGGGATTTATTTTGATCGCCAAGAGAAAATGATTGAGAGTTCAGTTTCAAGCGCACAGAGAAATCTCGGCTCGTCTGGTGGGCGCCAAAAGTGAAAAATTTCGTCGCGAGTAAATAAATTCAAATCAACTCGCGGAGACTGTGGGGAAATCGCAATTAATCAGTATACCAAAGAATAAGAAGAGAACACGTGTCACGCGTCAACATAAACAGCGATCCATCAGGTGAAACACAATTCCCTGTCAAGCCAATGCTGGCCTGGCGCGCGCGAATTGCATTGTTATATTAATGGGTATACGAAAACGTGCTCGCGGTAAATGAGGCTGTTTGTGTAACGAGTGTCGCCGTCTGCACAGAGAGACATACTCTGTTTACCAGCATAATCTCTTTCTTGGTGCGTGACCGATAAAAAAAATAAATACCGATCCAGATTGGCATCAGTGCAAAATTCGCTAATCCTCCACACGTGTGGGCACCAATAAATAATTGCTAATCACGCGTACTTCGGCCACCAAAGTGCTTTGTAATTCATATATCTGGTGCAAATCGTCATCCTTTCAATTTTTTTTCTTCTTGTTTAAGACTCTAGTAATCAGTTTTAGACAGGAGAATTAATTCTGCAGGCGCCTGTCTTGTAATCTTCATTTTTGCTCGTCCATGCCATTGAAAATCTGGAAAATCCTGATACCGTTAAACTGTCAACAAAGCATATTATGTAATGTGTTTTAAAATCTATATTTAAATCTGTGCATATTATATACGTAAGAAATTAGTTTTAAATGTTTACAAAACCAAACAATTTTTCAAAAATGGATGTTTGGTCACACAATTTCATTTTAAATACAGTGAGAACTAATTTATAATATCTTCAGTTCAATTCGGAATAGATCTCGTTCTGTCTAACTTGAAATTAAAAAATCTACATCTTTATCAATTTTGGAGATTATCATCTTTTTTTATTCCCTTTGATTCTAGTTTTTTATTAAATAAATGAGACGTTAAAATCTCCTCACAATCGCAGAATTGGCATAAAAAATTAAAAAAAAGTGAGGCTTGGGGGAAAATAGGTGATATTGTAAGCGAAATAAGTAGCAAATATTGGTGATTTCAGATAAAAGAACGGAAAAGTGAAAAATTGCTTATTTATTTTCTATACAATACAGTTTTTTGGCTGTATAAAGGATAAATGTATCTGAACTTTAATAACTCACATTTTAGTTCTTATCAGCTTTAAAATTCAATAATATCTAATACTATGCGATATTTTTGTAATTTTCTCATTTTTCTCTCAAAAAAGTGTCCTCGTAGTTGGCTAAATCCTAAATCGACGAATTTTGTGAAGTAATAAATCAAAAGCATCTCTAAATATAAATGATTTGTTAAAAATTTATACAAAATACTTAAAAATACACACAATATTTAACAAAACATAAGTTTAATACTTTTTTTTAGAAAAATAACGTGAGACTTCAAAATTTTGCAAAAAGCTCTATATACACTAAAGGCAAATATTTACTAAAAATTCCTAGAAAAATGCAATGCAGATAATAAAACGATTCTATGTTGACTTTTGTGTGCCGAATCGACATCTTTGCACCCTTTCCCACACAGCGCAGAGCACAGAAGTGCTTTTTATCAGAGCATCGCCTCTCTCACGCGCGGCACAGATAGAGATGCAGAGTTGGCAGTTTAATTTGAATTGGGCGTGAGTGCGTTTCGGCGTCTCGTTGTTGTGTGTATAATAAAATGAGATGTAGTACCGAAATTTTGGCTGCCTAGTGAGCGTAGCGGCGGAATATATATTTGTCCGGGGCAAACACACACCTCGTGTGTCAACATCGCCTATCTCGCCTGCTTTATCTATTCTATTGCACATATACGCATAGCCGAGGGGCTTCATTTAATAATTCACACTGCGCTCTCGGTGCGGCTGGAAGCGAGAGTGCGGCGGGCACAAGAGCAACGAGCTCTCTCGCATTATTAGACAGACCCAGACGTGCTCATTGCTCTCACTGCAATTACGATTACGCATATAGACATTTATCGCCACCGCAGTCGGCATGCTGACGAATAAATTAGCGCCGATTGCCTAGCAACGCTTCTTTTATTCTCTCGCCAGTGACAAGTGATTTCGAGTAAATATTATCACGGCAGGAAATCTCAGCACACTTGATAAACATTATTTTTTATGAAGAGGTGCCAAGGGCCACGCGTAGATTTGAAAATAATTGGATTGGTAAAGATATTTTTAGAATTCAGTTATTTTGGCTTCAACTACGAAGTTCAATTGCAATTAATTTGAAAAATTCATGTAATCAAGGATATATTGATGTTTAAATAACTGAAAATAAACTTTTTGTTTCTATTTAAAAATGTGATCAAGGAGCCCAAAATGTCTGCTATACATTAACCCTCTAAAACTCTGACAGTAAAAATTTTAAAATCGAGGGTCATTTTTTATAAATATTATAATGGAGTTTGAAATCTGAATAAAGTGCCGGCTAAAAATAATGCAAAGAAATATGCTGGAAACCAAGAATTTTAACTCTATCCAAATTTTTATGTATTTTATAAAATATTGTGTTGTTTTAGGTTACGAGTCATTTATTTCAATATAGATGATGATATTGGAGATTCTTTAATATATAATTTTATATTTTATAAAAATATAACTCTTTTCTTCAAATTGGAAAAAAAAGATAAATATCGAATCTTCAAATAATATTATAAATATTACTATGTTTTATCCACAAAAGAGCCCAATTATTTATGGATTTGAATATAGAGTTAAGATTTAAAAGAATTAAGTTGCGCTCCAATTATACACAATTATATTTCAATGCATTTTAAAAACAGGATTATGTTTATATATAATTTGAAGCAAAAAAACTGGGCTGTCAGTCACTGTTCCCATATAAGTCGAGCCGATGCTAATGAGGCACGCAAAGTGTCAATTTACATGCAAATTAAAATGAATTTACAATATAAAGCGGTGATTGAACAAACATTTATGCAGCAGCGGCACCACAATTCAGCAGTTCGATATTCCGTACATAATAAATATAATATTGGACGAGCGAAGAAGTCGATGAACCAGTTTTCTCGGGAATGAAAAAGTAATTGGCTTTTATGAGTTTTCTGCGACCGCATTTACATTATTACGTGAATAATAATAATCTGAATGCGTGTGATCTGTATCTGGTCTCTCTCCGTAGCAGGCCGCGAGAAATGTGAAATGAAATGAGACGAAAAAAGGCAACGGATGAACACAAAGTTTCTATCGTGCATGCATGCGAAAGAGAATAACAACAAGAAACGGATCCGACGTGCTGCTCAGGGCTTGTTTCTGGTCGCGAGGTGCATTCTCGATCACTAAAGTATTTAATTTTAGAACTTGAGTATAAGCAAAGTAGATAGTTATTGAAGGAACTGAAACTGAAATTTTTATCGCTCTGGACAAAGGGAAAAATATTAAAATACTACACATTTTACAAATATTTATATATTAACCCACTCTCAATAGAAACTTATGCACATTACATTAAAATCTTCATTGATTGCATAGCATATCAAATTTTCTCCAAACAAGCGACGGCGGTCCTCAATTTGATCATCGTTCCAGTTTTTTTTTTTCAATTTCGCTCCTCGCAAAGTAATTTAAAACAGTTTTGTATCAAAAGCGCCTCAAATTGATAAAAAGTTTCCTCAATTCTGAATCGGTGTGGACGGATTTGTCGTGCCGCGGAAGTGGAGTCTCTGTGGCGCGAGTTATTTAGCGCGGCGGGTTAGCCTCAAGTCACACCAAACAACCCCCGCACGAGTGACGAAAAGTAGCTCTGCCGCTCGACGTGATTTATCGTGTTTATTTATTTAGATAAGGCTGCCCGCGATTTTTTTTGCCGCGGGATGCTTTTCGGCGGCTGCATTACGTCATTGTTGGATCAGCCTGCCGCGGCTGATTTATTATTAAATTCGAATGCAGCATGTCCATCCACGCGTGGATGCTAAGCCCGGAAATTGACTTTGCCTCTAAATCTAGAGAGTTTGTCCCAAGGACGCATACATTTTTTTCGGGTGGTTTTCTCGCGACCGTCAAACAGCGAAAACTGATCCACACACGAAGGATGGTCCACGTGTTTGCATTTTACTCTTTTGTCCACTTTTCTTGGAGACTTACAAGTTTTTTTCTTTTGCGTCAGTCAAAATTTTGCCAAATACCAGGAAGAAACAACTCTGATTCTCTGATTACATTCAACTGTGATTTTTTTTTACAAAATCTTGAATTTCAATTTTTTTTTAATATTTTTCTTTTTTCAGAATTTTTGTAACATAAAAAATTGAAAAACTTTTGTTTAAAAAAACCTCTGCTTCTGGTAATTAACTTTTTACATTAATTTAATCATTACTTGAACCATACGCAAAACAAAATAAACCTTTAATTCATGGCCAGAATTTATAGCGTACGCTATAAATTGCAAAATTTATTTGCTATTAAGTATTTAAAATATTTCAGTTTTTTTCCTTACAGTTTTGAAATTAATTTTGATCAAATTCAGAAATTTTTGCCTTTGATTGCTTAAAAAAATGGAAATCATGGCTTCTTGGAATATTTGCATATGATTCAAATCGACCTTGCTAGATTTTCCTCAATTGTGTAAGGAGCATAACAAAATGTAGCAAGTCCATTATATGATGCGAAAATAATAACGGCCATAAAAGAAAGGTGGTCGGACAATTTGGCAACTGGCGTTTGCTTCACCGCGGCGACTTGAACGCGCAGGCGAGAGAGAAAAAAAAGACGTTTAATTACACAGCTGGTTTAAGAGCGGACGATCAAAGGGTTCGCGCATTAAAACTAACTCGGTGTATGTGTATTATATTTAAATTGGACCAGGAAACCGAGTGCGAGGCAAAGTTGGACGGAAATGACTGCGGAGGGTGTGCCCCCGAGAGAGAAAGAAAGAAAGAGCCGCGCTTTGATTTACGGCCACGCGTCATCGTGCTGCGCGCTGAATTAATGCCGCCGCCGAATACTAAGCGGAAAATTAAAAACCTCGAACAGCAATTCAAAGCAGAAACGCCAATTTGCCAGCTGATTGATGCCCTCGTTATCCTTTCAAGCCGAGAATTCCAATTAATTTAATTAATTGAAATTTCTTTCACTCTTCTTATAGTGATAATAATATTTTATTCTCATAAATTGTGTTCCAGTCCAAGCGGGCACGAAGAACGAGCAGCTGAGCGCCGTGTACCAGAATGGTCGACGGGACAATGGCGAGGGCTGCGCCTACCCCTGTCTCAACGGAGGCACCTGTTCCAAAGGGCGATGCATTTGTAGACTAGGATATGTAGGCGAATACTGCGGAGAACGTAAGTGACTTCCATCTTTAAATAATATTACAATAATATAATAAAACTGTTTTCACAACCTATTATTTTAATTAATTCATCAATTTATATCAAAAAAAATTATTTTCAAATTTTTTTATAAGTTATATAATTTTTTATACTACATAGTACATAATGTGTAAATGTTTGACCTTTGCTTTTTATTATGTTATGCCCTTTAATATAAAGATAAATCAATGTTATAAATACTCAAAACGAGAGACATGACACAACTAGTATTATATACTGAAAATTAATAACCATCTGAACAAACTTGGTATAACATATTATATAATATTCAACAAAATTATTATTGATGCTTTTATTTATTATTTTCACAATCTAGTCACATTGCTGACATTGCTGAACCAAAATTTGCTTGCATTTCGTCAAATTTACATTTTCCTTCTGAGTCTTCTCAAACCTGTCTGTTTTCAATTTGATTGATGGTCAAATTTTTTTATTTGATTAAACTTACGGAAATCTGTACTATTAGACAGATAGGCATCACCTTAAAAAATAATTTGTTGAATGAGGGAAAGTTTATTGTTTACTATTATGAATAATATTGAATTCTTTGATAAAAAAAGCTTTTTAATAATTAAATGCAAACAATGTGGAAAAAATAGCATTAATAATTCAATTCATAGCTAGCACTCGAGGTGGATTTCATGAAAATTCTATAGAACTACGACTCACTTCCAAGGATTGAATTTATTGTTTTGCGATGAATTAAGCTAAATCCGATCTCCACAGTAGTTTTGAATTAAAATTTCATGGAATAGTTTCCTATCTGGATTAATAATATTAAATTCCATTTGTTAGATTCTTCTGCAGAAAAATTCAAAATTTAATAAATGAAGGTTTCTAACATCAAAAATTAAATTCCTTGAAAAATTTGGTACCACGCTCGTAAAAAATCGACCCTCTAAATGTGCACGAATTTTGCTTTCAGCGGTTTGCAGAGAGCCATGTCTGAACGGGGGTCGTTGCATCGGGCCGGACCGGTGTGCCTGCGTGTACGGATACACGGGGCGGCGGTGCGAGGCGGACTACCGGACGGGGCCGTGCTTCATGCGCATCCGCAACGATATGTGCCAGGGGCAGTTGCCGGGGGTGGTTTGCACCAAGCAACTGTGCTGCGCGACCGTGGGCCGCGCGTGGGGCCACCCGTGCGAGCACTGTCCGGACCAGCTCGATTGCGACCACGGCTTCCTCAAGAACGTGCACTCGGGCCAGTGCGTGGACATCGACGAGTGCGAGGCGATCCCGTCGCTGTGCGGCAACGGCGGCAAGTGCGTCAACAACATCGGCTCCTTCACCTGCGAGTGTCCCGAAGGCCTCGCCCGCAACCCCGACAACAACAACTGCGAAGACCTCAACGAGTGCGACGACGCCAGCACCTGTCAGGACGGACGCTGCTACAACACCGACGGCTCCTTCTACTGCATCTGCAACCCTGGATTTATCCCAGCTCAAGACAGGAAAAGCTGCATAGGTAATTTTTATTTAAAATTTATTAATTTATTTAGTTTTTGATTTATTATTAAAAAAATCATTTCATTAATTTTAGTTTTTAAGAAAACTTTTTTTTAATTCTATAATAATTTATTTCAGTAAATTTCAAGTAATTTTGTTTATTACATTTGATATTATATACATAATTGATTAATGTAAGTAATAATAAATAATATTTTTACTATTTTTCAAATATACATTTTGGTGTTTACCACTGTGTATTTAAAATTATATTGCAAAGCATATTGGCTGTGTGTTTCAAACGCTTAACTTATTCATTCTTTTGAATTGTTGTCCTTACATAAACATAATTCAAAGCACATTGGTAACAGTTAATTTATTTATTATAAAAATATTAATTTAAGTGACTAATCAATTGAAGTTCTATTTTCTGAATTTATGGAAAGTACATTATCAAGTTTTTATACTTACTGGAAAATGACACGACTAGTATATTTAAATTTAAATATAACGTATAATATTATAACAATACTCTTTTTGATACCCTGGCAATATAATTATCTTCGATAAAATATGTTATGTTGTGATTATGATGATTAACAGTTGATATAATTATTCTCATTTTATTTATTATAAATGACTCAGAAAATTCTGCACACAAAAGAAGCTTAAAAAATATATTTTTGAATCGCAATTTTTTTAAATAACTTATTGAAGCCATGGATCGATTTTTTCACCAGATGCTCGTCAGGGTAGCTGTTACACGTCCCTGAGGCACAGCCAGTGCAAGAACAGACTGTCGATGCGCTTGAGCAAGAAGGACTGCTGCTGCGGAATGAACATGGGCAAGGGTTGGGGCGAGGACTGCGAGACGTGCCCTTTCAACGGCACCAACGCGCACACCAGGCTGTGTGGAGCGGAAGGGCCGGCGGTGAACGAGTGCGTCCTCAGGCCCAACATCTGTGGCCAGGGCTCCTGTGTCGATACGGACGAGGGCTACAGGTGTGAGTGCCACCCAGGATTCACACTCAAGAACGGCGTTTGCGAAGATGTTGATGAGTGCAACGAACTTCAATACTGCCAGGTAAGCAAAAAATATTCAAATAAATTATTAACAAAAATACTATGCAAAATCTTATAATTTTATTCTACATTTTATATTATATTATTTTTATTTACATTATTTCAGTTTTTAATTTTTATTTATTTTAACAAATTCAAAATTATTTTTACAAATAATTTTCAACTCATTTCGTTAATTAACTTTATGTTCCTCGATATGTCTGTAATAATGATTTTTGGATTTATTTTTTATTAAATTTTATTTTAATGTTACATTTGCATAGGTTGATATGACCATAAATCAAGATTTAATCGTTATTATCCTTTCTTGAGGGGCTGTCTTATCACGCTCTAGAATTATGTAGCTTTTATTAATTGCAAATAATTTCTCACTTGTGCTTCAACTCATTACTTCAGTAAAACTCATTAAAGGAATAAGAAGAAAGTTGAAACAGCAAGGAATTGCAAGGAATTTTATACAAAATGAATCATTCCTAAATGGGAGTTGTGACATACCTTTAAGTCAAAATTGTATCATTAGCATCTTTCTTATTCTTACTTGCTAATTAAAAATGTGCCTGAAAACTTATAAAGCTATAAGAAACAATGTTTTTCTTGCAAATGGAAAGAAAGAGGTCAGAATTTGAGTGTTAATTTGTATAAACATTGAAATAACAATATTTTCATTCATTTTCTACTTCCAATGGAAAATTAAACCTACATTGTTTTAAAAACCATAGTTTCTTGTAAGATACAAACTTTTTTGAATTAATTCTTCCTACTTTCTTAGTTCATAAAAGCTGCAAATTCTTAAAAAGAAAATATGATTCTAAATTTTTGAACGAAATACTCAATTAAGAGTAAAAAAAAAATGAAGATAAATTTTATATGCATATTATCTAACAAAATGGATTTTTCTCATTTTAGGGTGGTCGTTGCATCAACACGGTGGGCAGCTACACTTGCAAGTGCAACCCTGGGTTCGACGTTTCGGCCGACGGGCGAATCTGCACGGACCACGATGAGTGCGCCGAACGCGGCATGTGCGCCAACGGGCGGTGCACCAACATGAACGGGTCATTCAAGTGCCACTGCAACGCCGGATTCGTGTTGTCGGCCGCGGGCCACGCGTGCGTCGACGTGGACGAATGTTATGAAAACCCGCGGATCTGCCTGAACGGCCGCTGCGAAAACACGGCCGGCGGCTACTCGTGCAAGTGCAGTTCGGGATTCGCGCTGTCGCCGGACGGAACGCACTGCGCCGACACGGACGAATGTTCCGAGAATGGCATGTGCGCCAACGGCCGCTGCGTCAACATGGACGGCAGTTACAAGTGCGTGTGCGACGCCGGCTTCAAGCTGAGCCGCGACGGCTCCCGCTGCGAAGACCACGACGAGTGTCTTTCCAGCCCGTGCCAGAACGGCCGCTGCCTCAACACGCCCGGCTCGTTCCGGTGCGAATGTTCGCCCGGATTCAACCTCGGCCTGGACGGTCGTTCCTGCCTTGACACGCGACGTGACCTCTGCTACTCGACCTACAGGGACGGTGTCTGTTCCAATCCGTCTTCGGTCCCGGTGCCCAAGTCCAGCTGTTGTTGTTGCACCGTCGTTTTGGGTCAGCCCATGGGTTGGGGCACTTTGTGCACGGCCTGTCCGCAACCGGGCACCGAGGAGTTTGAATCGCTGTGTCCGTTTGGTCCTGGACTTACTTACAACGGAAAAGGTGAGTAGAAATAATTTAATGTTTAAATTAACAAACATTAAAAAAAAATTTATTTTTTTAATTTTACTTGTTAAAATTGATATTTTTATATTTAATTTATTTAAAATGTGTTTAAACAAGAATTTACAAATTTTTTTAATTTAATAAAACGGCAACAATTGAACTAGGTTAAAAATAGTATTTATTATTAAATTCTCAATTTATTTAATTATATTTAACAGCTCTCTAATTTTTACAATCAATCTGATGAAAGCATTACTGTTTCATAAATAGTGTCCTTATGTCATATTAAACTATTATTTTGGAATATGAAACCTACATCATGCCAAATTTATTATGCTGTATAATTGCAGAATACAATGCATCAAGAAAATGACAAATGGTTTATTTTAGCATCAACATTATTCACGTTCACTAAAATTTTTTAATTAAAATATTGAAATTAAATTTGGAACATGTATCGTTTTCATTGGAAAAATAAGCGCCTTTGAAAGGAATTTTACATTTTTCAACTGCTCTTAAATACATAAAAAGTGATTTCAGGTGAAAGAAAGCTAAATTATTTGATATCGAGAATTGGGATGTTTTTAAGTAATATTATTCAAATTGATCATATCTGGTAAAAGGTGGTTTTAGATAGATCGATAATTTATTTATAATTGTTTATACATGTGGCAAAAATTAAAAACTCGAAAAACGATTTTTTCCTGAAGCAGTTAAAATTTTTGCGTTATTATTTCAAATATAAATTATCAATTAATGATCCAGGAGTGATATTAAAACCTAACAATCATTTAAAGCCTTAATTGAGCTACATTAGTACATTTTAGTTTCTTTTTGACGATTTTAACCAATATTTATTTAATCCCAAATCTTGGTGAGTTTATTATTTAATTTTTTTTCAATTACAAATTGATGTCCGCTGAGTTTATATTTAATTGCTGCTTTTTAAGTCGTTAATTGTTTCATGGAAAAGCCAATTACCTAGTCTATTGGTTTCGACTTCGCGGATTTACATGTAATAAAAAAACATTCATTTAAATTTTTTTGACTTATTGTTTAAGATATCAACGAATGCGCCCAAAATCCAAACATCTGCGGCAACGGTGCGTGCGAAAATCTGAATGGCACGTACCGTTGTCACTGCAACCCCGGTTACGAGCCGGACGCATCTGGCAAGAAGTGCGTGGACGTGGACGAATGCAGTTTGCCCGAAATGTGCAGCGGCGGCCAGTGCAAGAACACCAACGGCAGCATGCAGGTTAGAATAAATTATCTAAAAATCCTAATTAAACTAAACGTCTCTGGGGGATGGTTTTTCTTAATTTTCGCAGTGCATTTGTCCGACGGGCATGAAGCTCAGTCAGGTGACGCACGCTTGCGAAGACATTGACGAGTGCCGCGAAATCGCCGACGCTTGCGTAAACGGCGCTTGCGTCAACCTGATCGGTTCGTTCCGCTGTGACTGCGACCTCAACTCTGTGCTGGACAATACTGGTCGCATATGCATCGGTGAGTAAAACAGTTTTGAAATTTTTTCATTTCAATCAGTTTCTAAGATGTTATTTTAGTTCAGGGCAATTTTTTTTATATAACAAAATGAAAAATTTGCAATTTTTATTCAAATGTTGGGCGCAAAAATTTGATCAGTTTCTGTTTGTAATTTGGAAAATCGTGTAACTCCTAAGGTTAATTTTTTAACTTAAATAATTCAAAATAATATGATAAGCGAAGTGTGAATTTCGATGACTCCAAAATTTATCAGAAATGCATAATCTATTAGATTTTACTAGCGATTTCTGTTATTATTAATATTTTCTTAGTGTTGCTAAAATTCGTCAAAATTTCCATTGTTGATAAATAATCAATTTGTGTGTGGGAATCATTGAATTGTTGGAAAAGTTTTGCTAAAAAATTGTACTTTGATCGGCTTAGTTTTTTGATCTTGTCACTGCGAAAATAGTCATGATACGCTTCCAAGATCACAAATTTTGCCACAGACAAGTTTTGCAGAGGGAGAGAAAAATTATATTACACATATTCTTTTTTGTAGCAATTAAATAATTGAACAGGAATATTTATAATTGAAAAATTTAAAATGATCATTTCGCAATAAAATTATATTTGGAAATACAACATGCGTAAACATCACTAAAAAAATCTTACAGAACAACTTAATCTAATAAAAATTTAAAGTTCGCTTCAAGTTTACAAAAAATGATGTCATATTAATGAAAAACATTTAGTTGTTTGACTTGAGAAAAAATGATATCAATATTTTCTTTAAGAAAATCCTCCATATCCCTTCCCATAGACAACAGGCGCGGTTCCTGCTGGACGAAAATCGTCAACGGGCAGTGCGAGAACAACTTGGCGCGTGCGACGTTGCGGTCCGAGTGTTGCTGCACCGTGGGTCTGGCGTGGGGCAGCCCTTGCGAGACTTGCGACACGGAGATGTGCGACTGTCAGCGGGGCTACGCAAAGCTGGACGGCAAGACGTGCGTGGACGTGAACGAGTGCGAGTTGGAGCCTGGCATCTGCAAGGGCGGCGGCTCGTGCGTCAACACGGAGGGCTCGTTCGTGTGCGAGTGTCCGTCAGGGTTGACCCTGGACTCGAGCAAGCGGCGGTGCATCGATCGCAGGGAGGAGCCGTGTTTCCTCGAGTACCACCACGGCACCTGCGGCCGCCAACTCGACGGGCTGTTCAACAAGAACAAGTGTTGTTGTTCGGTGGGCAGGGCGTGGGGCAGCACCTGCGAGGCGTGCCCTCGCCAGGGCACCCAGGCCTACCTCGACCTGTGCCCCAAAGGGCCTGGCTTCGAAGACCGACGCGACATCAACGAGTGCCTGCTGCCGGGAATGTGCGATAATGGGCGATGCAGGAATACGATTGGGTCATTCAACTGCAGGTGCAACCAGGGCTTTGCAATAGATGAGAATGGAGTCAAGTGTTTAGGTAAGAAAATATTATTTTCTTAAAATTTACGAGCTTTATTTGATTTAAATTTTTTAGCTTCATAATTATTCAAGCAATGAAAATTAACAAAAAATTTACTTCTATATATTTTTATTTTTACTTTTACAACGTTTTTAACATTAATTTTTTTTAAATTACATTTAAATGATAAACTTTGCTAGGCACGATATATTTTACAATTTTTTTTAGTTACAATATTACAGAAAAAGAACATAATGTAATTGCATCCATGAATTTATTCAAAGTATACAAATCTGTAATATGACATAACGAATGTTTATGGTTTCGATGATACTAATTTTTTATTTAGTGTATCTCCTCATTAGCTAATTATTGAAATGCAAGTAATGCTGATAAGTAAATTTTGCATCTTCATGATATTGCATGATATAATGAAGTAGAGATTAAAGTTAGATGATTTTATAAAAGCTATAGAAAAATCGCAAAAGTTGTTTAAAATTGATAAAACAAAAAGACAATTTACCAAAAAAAGGTGACCTATCTTACAATTAGATCGTTTTGAAAACCTAGGATTCCTAGTTTCCACAGGTCGCCATTCAAATCTTTCTAATATTGAATGATTTTCACAAAAACACCACCTCAAATTAAATCTTTCAATATAAAACTTTACTTCAGACATTGACGAGTGCAGCATTATGCATGGCGTTTGTGGAAACGGGACGTGTCGCAACACCCCTGGCAACTTCAAGTGTGACTGTTTCGATGGCTTCGAGAGCACTGCCATGATGCAGGTTTGCATGGGTATGGTTTTTAATTCATTTTGCGAAAGTAGATACAAAATGAGAATGCTTATTATTATAATTTCAGACATTGACGAGTGTGAGAAACGACCCAATCTTTGCAGGGGAGGCACTTGCAAAAACACGCCAGGTAGTTTTGAGTGCGTTTGTCCTGCTGGACACGAACTCGCCCCTGACAAACTTTCCTGCAAAGGTAACAGTTTTTTTTATCAATGGATTTTTAAGTTATTTAATTTAATATGAAGATATTGACGAGTGTTCGCGGACGAGTGGAATTTGCTCCAACGGCGTGTGTGAAAACATGATGGGAACTTATCAGTGCATTTGCAATGATGGATACAAACAAACCGGGCTGAAATCGCATTGTGAAGGTTTGGAACAACTTAAAAAATTTATAATTTCTTTTTAACTCTATTAATTTTATTACTGAATAGGAGAAAAGTATTGAATTAGCGCCAGAATAAGGAAAATTTTATCATTAATAACTTTAATATTCATTATTTTTTCCTCTAAAATAGATGTTGATGAATGTGACGTCAACAATGGGGGTTGTCAGGACAGATGTATCAACACTCTGGGAAGCTTTTCTTGTGCCTGTGGGTGAGTACCAATCGCTTAATTATTGTTTTTTGCCTTAAATTTTTCTTAAACTAGAGTTTATTTTTCTTTTACAAATTATAAATATATTTGTTAAAAAAGGAATTTCTTTACAAATTATGAAAGTTTTCAATAGGTTAAAATTACATCCTTCTTTGTAATTTAAAATTGGTGAAGAAAAAAATGCGAAAATATACTAGTTATTCCCCATGACAATTGGGAAATATGTTTTACATCATGATTCTAGATTTTTGAAGTACCAGCAGTCGCTTTTTTCTGAGATTTACTTTCACAATCATCTATTTGGATCAGTTGTTTAAACTTCATATTTTTTTATGAAAAATGTCATCAGGGATGGCTTTGCCCTTTCTCCGGATGGAAGGACTTGCGTGGACGTTGACGAGTGTCGCGAAAACGCACGCATCTGCAACGGTGGTCTGTGCACCAACTCGATCGGCAGCTACAGGTGCACATGCACCGACGGGCTGTTGGCGAATCCGGACGGTTCTTCTTGCTCGGACGTGGACGAGTGCAGTTTGCAGCCGGGAATCTGCCAGAGCGGCGATTGCGAGAACACGATGGGCTCTTACGCCTGCCGCTGCCAGGAGGGATACTCGGTCAAGCCCAACGAGGTGGGCTGCACCGACGAGGACGAGTGTCTCCTTGGGTACAACGACTGTGACGAGAATGCAGACTGCACCAACTCAATGGTAAGTATTAAAAAATTTAATTAAAAATATTATATTGATACCAAAAACTAAATTTTTATAAAATATTTCTTTTTAAATAAATAAATAAACATTTTTTTTTCATTTTTAAGATTTTTAGTATTTTTGGCAAAAAAAATTTTAATTGTAAGAATTTTTTTAATTTTAACATTAAAATTGAATTAAAAAGTTGTACAACTAACAATAAGTATAAATTTGGTGCATTCAGTCAATTGAATGTTATTCAGCGTGTAAGTACAATTAAATGTATGAGAGATATCTTGGTAAACAATTCTTGTGATTATAATTATTAAATCAATTCAAAAATTCATCAAGATGAGAATAAAAAAATAATTAATATTCTACTTTATATGAAAGACTAACAATTGAGTTCACTTTAAATCTGGCAAAGCTTATATTATTCTCTTGATGGTGGGAACAATCCGCGATTTTCCAGATAAACTGAAAAAAAACGAAACAAAAGAAAAGCGTGTGCGATAAAATCGTTTCGCGCAACGAGCGGTCCAGCGCCGCGGTGTCAAAGGGTGAAGTGACCAGCGTATGCATGGGAATGAGATTTACCGAGATTGTTTGTCTCACTCGCCTATCTTTTCGAGCGAAAAATGTAATTGTCCTCGTAGCTCTCGCAGTGTTTTTCTTCTTCTCTACTCCAGACGGACAAAAAGAAATAATATAACAAGAGGAGAATTTGAGATCGCCGTGGCGATGCGAAAGCGCTCGGCCACTGAGTATGCAAATATTTTGCATTATTCATGCGCAATGCCGCGATTTTTCACAGCTTTTGTGAACAATTTTTCACGCCAATCCCCCGTATCTGATTTCGATGTCAGCCCAAATTTATCGCTTTTTTAGCTCGCGAGTCACGGTTTGTAAAGGGATAAATTCTTTTGTCCTTTACAGACCGTTACTCTGTACCTATTCTAATTCTTAAATTTTTTTTTCGCAAACTGCAAAGAAAAGTCTAAAACTTTGATTTAAAATCGAAGTTCATAGCCAGAATTTACGGTATTTACTTGCAATTTGCGTGAATTTAATTTTATTTAAAAAAATTGTTGCATATTTATAAATTAATTGCTAATATTGCTATTTAATAATTTTAAAACACGTTTTTTTTATCTATGAACTGTTCAATTTTTTGTTTTTTTAATTGTTTTTCGTAATTATCCACATTCCGCATTATTCCAATGCATTTATTGATAAAGGGGCATAATAGACTTAAACATTATATTTTTACTTTCAATAATGTTTATTAATGTATCACCGGGCATTTATTATAATGTTGTTTTTGCAATTCACCTCAAGGAAGTATTGAAAATGACCTCCATGTTTCTTACACAATTCAAAAACATAATGAGCAGTAAAACGACTAAGTGAATGTGATAATCCAAAAAAAAATTGTGCAGCTTATAATATTTTGAATTTTTGTAAATTTTTATTTCCTCCGTACTGTGATCTCAAATAAATCTGGAAAATAGTCTTCTCTATCATTAGGAAAAATTTTCAAATCTTTTTGGTGCAAATTTCTTTCTCAGGAGAGAGAAATTTAAGTTTTCTTGTCATATTGCAAGTCTTAAAAGTATCAAATTTCCAACACCTCTATCCATACATGTCTCTCGATTCATTATGTTGATCTTTCGTTCTGCACACTTCTTGTTGAATTCAAACGTATATTTAATATATTAATTTTCTGCGGTGTGTTTCAGGGCTCTTACGAGTGCAAGTGCCGCGACGGCTTCACCGGCAACGGTTTCGCCTGCCGGGACATCAACGAGTGTCTGGTCAACAACGGCGGCTGCGACGCGAACGCGCAGTGCATCAACACCGAGGGCTCCTTCAAGGTAAAATGGATTTGGAAATGAAATAAATCTCCTCTCCCTGCTCAGAGGTGCGAGGCAGAAAATTAATCCAGAAAACCCCTCGTGACCTGAGCGCGATTAATTCCGAGCGCAGACACGCGGAATAATTTAATTGATCGTCGTGGCTGCATCTTTTCTCGAGAGAGATAATAATAATTCACGGCGCGGCTTTTGCATAATAAATTTGTGTGTGATGTATCGCTCTTTTATGGTGATGTGGCGCGCTGTCGTCCCATTACAAAGTGCCATTTTTGGGCGCAAATGATGAAGGAAAAAAAAGCCCATCGGCAAAATTTTTTGGCACCTGATTTATTCTCTCGAGATTAGTATGGTGAGTGACGTGTGTTCGCCGAAAAAGTTATGCGGGCGTTTATATCACCTCCAGACTTGTCTCATTATGGGACCTGTTTTGAATTAAAATATTACACATCCTCGGCTATAATTCAATTTAATATCATAGCATACTTGCTTGCAATGTTCCAGAACCTTCAAGTTCCGCATAAATAATTAGCCTCAAGCATAAAATAAGAAATTTAAAGAGAGAGAGATCATGAAAGTATATGTTAATTGTTTTAAGAAGGTAGCATAATTTAATATGCCATTTTTTTTTACCAAAAAATAGTGTATAAGGTGTATTATTTTGAAGTAATATTTTGCCCAACTACTTCTACCATATTGACAGGTTAATTAAATTAATTTTCCATAATTATGGTTTTTTTCAATCATATTTAATTTTTTGTATTAGGCTATTTAAACTAAATAAAAATAACCACTTTTCATCATCAAATTACAAAATTAATTCAATTTTTCATGATTGTATAACCAAATATAAAATTTATTTTTGTGTATCAAAATAATATGAGTAGCAGATAAATCAATTTTTTCTACAAGGAAAAGCCTATTTTTTTACCTTTTTATTTTTTTTTAAGATTTGCTGATTTTGAACTTTGCAAAATACAAGCAGCCTTGGAAAATTTAATTTATTATTCTAATATTAATTATTCATTTTGTTTTTAGTGCGTGTGTGACGAGGGTTTTCGAGGGACAGGCTTCTCTTGTCAAGACGTGGACGAATGCTCGGAGGACCCAAGTCTTTGCGAGAACGGCCAGTGTCTCAACTTCCCCGGCACGTACCGCTGCGACTGCGACATGGGGTTTATGAATCCCGAGCACGGCAACGAGCAAATGTGCATCGACATCAACGAGTGCAGCATGTTCAACAACCTGTGCGTCTACGGCCAGTGCGTCAACTTTGTCGGCATGTTCCGCTGCGAGTGCAACGAAGGGTACCAGGTATGCAATTTTATTTATGTAAAAAAGTCTCATTAATTTTCATAAAAGTTTTCTCATTTTCCAAAATTATTATTATGTAATTTCTTGGGAGACATAAAAAATTTAATGATATAGTAAAACCAAATTTTTTTAAATAAATATTTTCTTTGTACAGGAAGTATTCATAATAATTTTTTCATCTCAAAATTTGTTCAAACTTTTACATATAAAAGGATTCTAAATGAATAGGTAGTGAGTGGGACCACAAATAATTTTATTTAGATCAAATGTGAAAGAAAACCTTTTTCAATAGAGTAGGTTAACTTTTTTATTTATTTTTATTCAGATTACGATTGACTTTTCAGCATTTATGACTTGAGTTAAAAAATTTAATATTTCCAATTAAAAACAAAATTAATCATAATATCTATCATTGGTTTTACCGAGGAATCTTTTTGATTATTTCTTGAATTGCAAGCAGAAATAAAATAAAATTCACCATAATATCGACTTTCATTTTTCTTCAAACAATAAGAACTTTTCATGATTTAATTTTTCAAGGAGGATAATTAATTTTGTTTGCAGGTGGACAGCAGCGGTGGCAACTGCACAGACAGGAACGAGTGCGAGTCTCCTCAGGCCTGCCTTTACGGCACTTGCGTTAACACAGACGGCAGTTTTGAGTGCCACTGTCCACCTAACCACGAGTTGATTGAAGCCGGAAATGGTTGTGTGGACAGGCGGGAGTCTCAGTGTTTCCTCGACGTTGAGTCTGGACCCGGGGGCCGCAACCGCTGCTCCATGCCCTTGGGCAAACCGGTGAGCAGAGCGACTTGCTGCTGCTCCAGCGTGGGCAAGGCTTGGGGTCCGAGGTGCGAAAACTGTCCTGCTCCGGACAGTGAAGAGTTCAGAAACTTGTGTCCTGGTGGTATTGGATACAAACCGAACCTCGACACAGTAAGTAATTATGTAGTAAAAAAAATATGCTATTTTTATTTTATTAATATTATTTTTCTTAAATTTAGTTTATTTTATTTAACTATCATTATTTTAATTTTAACATTAATCAATATGTTATGTTTTTATAACTATTTTAAAATTATATTGCAAGTTTTCTTGTATGAATAATAATTTATTATTGATTAGATTATAAATAAATATTTGTCTTTGTCTTTAACTTGAGAGAGTAAATTAATAAAAATTAAATAAAATGGTGATTAGTTAGATTATTCACTTTTTTGCTATTATTTGAAAAGCATTTAGTTAAAATTCTCAATTAAGTGCCTAAATAATAATCATCAAATATTATATTACAGAAAAAAACACTAAATTGCAGCTAATGTGTCAATTTTTTATATATAATGTGAACAGGTTGTCTTGGAAGATATCAACGAGTGCACAGAGATGGAGAAACTGTGTGGAAACGGACATTGCACAAATACCTTCGGAGGCTTCATGTGTTCATGTGGAGACGGATATCGCTTGGAGCATGATGGAAGCATGTGCGTTGGTGAGTTTCAGACATTATAATGTTAAATTTAATTCAAAAGCACAATTGAAAGTAATTTAAAATATGAATAAAATATTTTAGAAAACTTTTGATAATTCCTATTAATTAAAATCTCTGAAATGTCTTTAGATGTAAATGAATGTTCTGAGAACGGATTGATATGCGGCGTGGGTCACTGCGAAAACGAAGTGGGTTCGTACCGATGCGAGTGCCCCGACGGCTACATGCTCTTGCCAAGCGGAAGTAATTCGCGCAAAATTCCCATCAGCACAAAAATGAAATCAATTATTTTTCAGAGGAGTGCGTGGACATGCGAAAGGAGCAGTGTTACATGTCGTACGCGAATGGCCAGTGCACCAAACCCATGACCCAGGAGGTGACGCAGAAGGTGTGTTGCTGTTCAATGGGCCAGGCGTGGGGCAACCCTTGCCAGGCGTGTCCCTACCAGAGCTCGCGGGACTACATGCTGCTCTGTGGACTCTTGCCAGGGCACATTGTCGACCCGTTGACCAACAAGTCGGTGCCCATTGACATGTGCGGCCTCATGAACAACATGTGCCAGCATGGCACTTGCGTCAACACGCCAGGCAGCATGGAGTGCGATTGTGACAGGGGCTGGATTTACGATGAGAATGCGCATCAGTGTATAGGTACTATTTAAATTTTATAAGAATATTAATAGATTTTTTCCACAATTCATCCAAATCATAATATTAAAAAAAAAATCCCTTGCTTATTGTTAGTTAGAATTTAATAAAAAAAATTAAGTTAAGACCTCTATGAGCATAAAATAAAGGGTGTTTAGTTTTTTTTATCTGATATTATTTTATCGGAATTTAATTCTATTCATTAGAATAAGATCTCAAGCTTAATAAAGAACCGTGAAACCAGAAATTAAATAAAAAATCAATTAAACATTTAAAAAATATAAAATCACATTTCACAAATTTAAATAAAGAATCTCCAAATTTGTAAATGTCCATGTTATATCTGGATGATTTCTTCAGCTAAGTAAAATGTCTTTTTTACAAAAGTCTTTATAATAATGCCATTATAATAAAAAAGCATATTATTTTTATCAATAATTAAATTTAATTGTGTTTCATTCTCAATATTTATAGAATTTGTATGCACTTATATTAATTGGTTGATTTTTTTTCTACAGATGAAAATGAATGCAATCGTAATCCCAGCCCATGCAGAGGAAATGCAGAGTGCGTCAACTCGCCAGGCAGCTTCCATTGTCAGTGCCCTCAGGGCTACAGATTGAGCATTAATGAAAGAGACTGTGTTGGTCAGTTGCTTACTTTTTCTACTTAATCGAAATAATTTTCCTTTTTTTTATTAAGATGTGGACGAGTGCAGAGAAAGGACAGACGTTTGCCAAAACGGCGACTGCACAAATTACCAAGGCTCCTTCCAATGTGTCTGCTATCCTGGTTACACTTTGACGCCGAACAGAAACTCCTGTGTGGACATCGATGAGTGCCAAAGACAAGCGACCATCTGCAACAATGGCAACTGCAGCAACACTGTTGGCAGCTACACCTGCAAGTGCAATGCAGGGTTCAAACTGGGCACAGAAAATATCTGTGAAGGTAAATTAAAGTTTTAATTCATTTGAACGACTTTTCAATGTAGAGAGTTTTAGATATTGACGAGTGCAGAAATCACCCTTACTTGTGTCGAAATGGTCGCTGTAAAAACACGATTGGCTCGTTTACTTGTGAATGTGCTGACGGATATACACTAAGTGCTGATGGACAGTACTGCAGAGACATCGACGAATGTGTTGAGGTATATAATAAAAGTTGGAAATAAAAACACTATAAGTATCAATTTTGATACAGAAAAACCTTTCACATTGATTGTTGCTTGATTTTCTATTTGTGGTTTTATTCAGGTTGAAATTGAATTTAAAAAGCAAGAAATTTTCATTAAATTTTTATTATTTAAAAAAAAGTACGCAATTTTTTAATTTTTATTCATTCATTAAACTATTCTTGCAATTTTAGATTCCAGGCACTTGTCCATCTCCAGGCAAATGTCAGAACATCATGGGCCACTATGTCTGCCAATGTCCGCCTGGTTTTGAGTTAGCTCCGGATAAGAACACCTGCATTGATGTGGACGAGTGCAGGGCCAATCTAGGAATCTGCGACGGCGGCCGCTGCATCAACCTGTCAGGAGAATTCAAGTACAATTTTATTTCGTTCTTATTTTGTACTAAATAAATTACCATCATTATTTAGGTGTGAGTGTCCAGAGGGCTTCGAGTTGAGTCCTAATGGAATGCGGTGCGTGGACACCAGAGTGGAGGGTTGCTTTGATTCCTACAGGAGGGGCCAGTGCAGCAAAAAGAGGGACAAAGCGCTAACAAGACTGCAGTGCTGCTGCACAATGGGCAAAGCGTGGGGAAGGTTCTGCCAAGAGTGTCCTCAGCCTGGCTCTGGTATTTCTGATAAAATTTTAAAATATACGCTAGAAGTAAAAGTAATTTTCAGCGGAATTTGACTCATTGTGTCCGGGAGGTCCAGGAAGAGGACCTTTTGGAGACGATTTGAATGAGTGCATCCACATTACAAATGCCTGTGAAAATGGAGAGTGCATTAATACTGACGGCTCATACAGGTGCGAATGTGCTCAAGGATATAAACTGGACGCCACAGGAAAGAAGTGTATTGGTAAGGATAATGAATAATGAAATAAATTTTTTTTTTTGAAGAATTCAAGTCATAAATTGTGAGTTTATTTATTTATTTTATTTTATTTTATGTAAATAATTTCCGGGAGGCACTATTTTATCAGAATTTTTTCTCATTCCATAGTGGTATAATCATTTCTGATCATTTCTGAAAATTATTTAATTCTTGCAATCGGAGATATACTTTGTTTTTATAAAAATTAAAAAAAAAAGAATAATTCCATAATTTGATCTAAAAAATAATAAAAAAAATAACAAAGAATTTTTTAATATGGCTTTTTCTTTTTCAGATGATGATGAGTGTGTCTTTGGTAATGTTTGCGGCAATGGCACCTGCAGTAACACAATCGGCGGTTTTGAGTGCCAGTGTGGAGAAGGTTTCACCCCAGGCCCAATGCAAACCTGCGAGGACGTAAACGAGTGTGTCGAATCTGAAGGCCACGAGTGCGCCTTCCGGTGCCACAACACGCCAGGTTCCTTCAGGTGCCTTTGTCCATTTGGCTTCAAATTGGCCGAGGATGGCAGACATTGCGAAGACATGGACGAATGCAACACCCCGGTTAACAACTGCAAGTACATGTGCAAGAACCTCATCGGAACTTACAGGTAAAAATTAAAAGCGATTTGTTATTTGAAAACAAAAAAAGAAAAATGGTTTATTTAAGGTGCATTTGTCCGCCTGGATATCAGCAAATGGGACACGTGGACGACTGCAGAGACATCAACGAGTGCGCCATCACTCCTGGGCTGTGCCAAAATGGGTACTGCATTAACGACGAGGGTGGTTACCACTGCGAGTGCTACAATGGATTCAAGCCTAGTCCTGACGGAAAATCATGCCAGGGTATTTTTTGAGAAATCAAACATTTGGAATTTAGAATAGTAAAATTATAATTTCACTTTTAATTTTTCAGACCACCGAAGTGGAGCCTGTTATCGCCAATTAACAAACGGCAGGTGCGCGTTTAACGAGAGCCTTCCTCAGGTAACTAGGTCTGCCTGCTGCTGCACCATGGGCGTTGCGTGGGGCCCTGCCTGCCAACCGTGTCCAATCGTCGGCTCAGACGAGTACAGACAGCTGTGCACAGAGAGTGGTTTCCATCCGGATGGCTCGGACATTGACGAGTGCAGCACCTTGCCTGGTTTGTGCAGAAACGGGCAGTGCGTCAATACTTTGGGCTCCTATAGATGCATTTGTAACAAAGGCTACAAACTGGACGGTTCATCCAACACCAGATGCGTTGGTATGAGAAACTAATTCCATGCTTTTAGTGAATAAACTGAAAAAAATTATAGGTTCGAAAATATATTATAAAAATTAAAGATTGACGGACTAGATTATTATTAAAAATTTTGTTAACTCTCTTTCAATTTGACTTTATACTCATGTACTTCAATTTTTTCTTTCAAGATGTGAATGAATGTGACAACAGTCCTTGCAAGTACTCCTGCCAAAACACTGAAGGCAGCTACATTTGCTCATGCGCCCCTGGCTACGTTTTGAACCCTGATGGTGTGAGCTGCAGAGATCTTGACGAGTGCACCACAGGCAGACATATTTGCCAGCACGAGTGCGTCAACACCCCAGGAAGTTATGACTGCACCTGCAGAAAGGGTTACAGGCAGAAAGGAGACAGATGTTTGGGTATGGTTGAATTATTTCTAAGAAAAAGAAAAATATTTTATTATACAACTTGTTTAATTCAGATATTGATGAATGTGCTGAGCCAGGCGTATGTCCACCACCAGGCACCTGCATCAACACCATGGGCAGTTTCCGTTGCATCTGTCCGAAAGGTCTGAAGATCGATCCAAGTGGAAAGTTCTGCGGAGACACTGATGAATGCGCCAAAGACCCCTCAAAGTGCCAACATGGATGTCAAGTAAGTTTTTTTTTAAACATTTGTTTCAGAGATTTTTCCTGTTTTCACTGAAAATTTTCATTTAATACTAGGCTTGAAAGAATGAAATACAAAGCAAAAATTTGAAATTTCATAAAAAAATTAATTTGTAAACATAATGACATGAAAATTTTCTTTTTGTTTCCTTCATATATTAAATTAAAATTGTCTTTAGAATCTGTTTGGCAACTACCAGTGTGGCTGTCCCGACGGATACCTGCAGAACGCCCTTCACAAGCAGTGCGTTGACGAGAATGAGTGCCAACGAAACCCGTGCAGTCCTGGCACCACTTGTATCAACACGGTCGGCTCATACCGCTGTGGCTGCCCAGACAGCTACCAACTCGACCCGAACTTATCCATCTGCATCCAGATGGCCGCTGGATGCATCAACAGTCCTTGCGCCTTTGGTTGTCAGGCAACTAGTGGAAACCAATATGGGTGCAGTTGTCCATCGGGTTATTATAGAATTGGACAAGTATGTGCTTATCCTTACTTTTTCTTATAATATATTGAATTAAAACAATCTCGATATATCTACTCATTTTTTAAGATATAACAAAAACTATATGAGTTATAAATAATTTCAGGGCCACTGTATGACAACAATAAACCCTCCGTCCCACAATTTCCCAACATCTCCAGCATTCAACCCTGGCGGCCCAGACTTTGGAAACATTCCAATTTACCCAATAGATGTGCCAGAACCATATGTTGATCAAAACTCAAACTCCAGGGTCATTTCCACAGAAGGCTGCTTCTCCTGCAATGTATGTTTGGAGTCTAAAGTTTTCATAAATTTGCTTCAATATTTTGTTCACTCAAGCTAAATGGAGGATTGAATGGCAAGGGTGGCGGAAGCAGACACAGGAGGTCAGGCAAGCACAAAGCTAACTCAACCCATCACGTTGGCCATGACGGACGACGGACGTGGACAAAACACATAGTACGATTTTTCATACATAATATTTTTTATTAATGTCCATTTTATAAAGTAAAATTGAAATAATAATTGAAAAAAAATTTTTTTCTCAAATTAAATGGATGCGCAATATTTTTCGGAAAATATTAAAAAATAATTTTTATTAATTTATATTTTTAGATTAGAAAAAGAAGCGTCCACATGTTCAAGCTGGCGGAGCACCTGGCCACTGACCAGCAGGTGTTCCTCAAACTGAGTCTTTCACAAACCAAACACAGGATGCGAATCCTGAAGCTCCAAACAGCCGTTACACATTCAAAGGTGATTTTTTTCTATTAAACTTCCCTCTTGAAAATAACAATTTTCGCGTTCACACAGCGTTACATCAAGTACCACATAATCAAGGGCAATGACCAGGGCCTGTTCGAAATGGTGCCGAGGCACGGCGTGTGGGCGCTGCACTTCAAGCGGAAGTTGCGGAAGCCCGGGGTGTTTGACCTGGAGATCCAGGGCAACCACCACACCTCTGCACACCCCAACAGTGCCCTCTCCAAGTGGGAGAAGCCGTTGGAACTGAGGGTGCGCCTGGTGGTAACCTCCCCTTGAAAGAAAGACTCACTGCCGCCTTTGCGACTCCAGCCAAGGCCCCCAGGATGAGACCAATCTAGTTTTTGTATTGTTTCACACTGTACACACTCACAAACGCCTTCGAGAGGATCAATTTTTGGCATTTGTGGTTTTTTTTAATGCTGCCCTATTCTCAGAAGTCAGAAGTTCACAATTTTTTATTTTAATTTTGTTGTGCAAAGCCACACTTCGCTGAAACTTGTTGATCCTCGAAGGAGCTGCTAGATGGAAAGAAAGAAAGAAGATGTGCCACTTTTATTACTCTCTGTGTTCCCAGTACTTAAAGTATTAAGTTGACGTCTTTTTAAGAGTAATAATTAGAACTAAATGAAAATTAATAATTGTATTAGTCTTAATTTTAGAGCTTATTTTGAAACTGTTGAATCAAGAATTGTAAGAGAGGAGGTTCAGTAATTTAATTTAGGCTAAGGAACTTGTATATTTGTACTTTTAGTTAACGTCAAAAATTTTAATTTAGGACTTGATCACTTTCACAAACTTAAGTGATTGTCAAAATTAAAATGTGCTTGCCTTAGTAGAACTTTTCCAAAATGTAGAACGATTGCATTTAAATAAATTTAAGAACTCATTGTTTAGTTTGCTTTTTTATTGTCCTCGGAGGAACCTGGCAATTTTCAGCTCTATTTAATGCTGCTGACAAACCTTGCCTTCATATACAGGTTAACATTGTTAAGGTCACCAAGCATGACAATATCTCAAATTAAACTGGATATTGTTAATTATAATTATAAATTTTTTTTTGTACAAAAACAAAATATTTAGTTGTTTTAATTGAAAAAATAATTCACTCTCTAAAATCTGACAATCCATCGAATATAAAATTATAAGTTTATCAAAGGAAATCATTAAATAAAAGTCGCCAGTATTTTTTAAAAATGTGTAAGAGGGTGAGCGGTAATTAAGCGATACGTGTTTATTTGCTCAGAGTATTGACAAAACAATTTTGACGCTTGTATAAGATTTTAGAAGAAAAAAAAACATTTTTTTTTTCATTTTCAACAAGAGCAACAACGACGACGACAAGAGTATTAGAGAGAAGCAGAGCACGATCTGTGCGAGCACAATAATTACATAGTTATTTTGTGTGTGGGTTTCATAATTAATTATTACATTAATTAAAAGTAGTACGCTATAGAATACTTATGTACAGGATCAGTCGGATTTCTTGTGCCTCTGTTGGCCCCTGTGTTGGTGGCGCAACTTGTGCCCCTTCTTGGTGTCCTCGGACTCCTTGGGGAACACCTTGCACGCGCAGCCCGCCCTCACTTCAATGTGCTCAATTTCCGTCCCGTTGCCCACTGCCGCGTAAGAGTACGAGTATTGCTGCACACACCTGGTTTGGTTGATCAGCTTTCGGTCGGCAAGGCGGCACGGCTTGTTCACCACTTGGGGCTTGCATATGAACTCGACAAAAAACTGAGGTACCTCTAATTTCTGAAATCAAATGTTGAGACGCAATGAATTTTCGCTATTTCAAAGACAGAAGCGGACATAATAATAGATTTTATTTAAAAAAAAAACAATAAAAAAAAAATAAAAAAAAAAACGTTGAATTAGTGGTTGTGGTTAGCGGCTATAGAGGAGTTTCCAATACTAAAGGATAATTAATTTTATTTTGTATTGTTGCTTGTAAAAGATTTGAAATAAGACATTAAGTTCACATTTTCTTAATCATCAATATAATTATTCATTGCGGTTTATCTAATGTTCAACTATCCTCAATATTTAAGACATATTTTATAGGAGACAAATAAATCATCACTTGCACTGACTTGCATAATAATTTACAGATTTAATAAATTTAAAAATAATTTAAAAAATTAATTTTTAACTAACATTATATCTTGTGAACTCCAAATTAGAATGAATTTTTTTATTATTTGTTCAATTTTACAAAAATGTAATTTTGTTATGTTGTTTTCTACAATTAACCGTTAACCACGAAATATTGTAATAACTCCTGATAAATCTAAACTATGCAACACGTTCAACGCCAGCGTCGAGCCAGTTGCATAACTGAATCATTTCCAGTCTTCAAACTAGAAATCAAGCTTTACGAAGAGAATTTGAATTGACACTCACGGCTATATTGACTGTGTTGCCGTCTCTGTTTTTACCCACTTGGATGTAGGTATGGTTTTCAAATGCGGGACAACAATCTTGTGTGCCGTTGCGCATCAGAAGGGCCTGCACCTCCTTCACCGGGATGAACGTGTACGGGTCCCAATTGTCGTCAGTGATCATCAAGTGCGCCCTGCAATCAGATCGATCCCGAATGAAAAACGAAATGCGTGAATAAATTTGAATAAGTCACACTTAAACGGTCGCATTGAGAATTGAAATGCATTAAACCGTGCGTGGTATTATTTATCGAGTCTGCACCTCACAGGCAAATTAAAAGCAATTAAAAAGCTTTTACGCCCGACAAGCAGATAAAAGACACATAAAAACACGCAGTATAAAAACGCACGCCGATTTATTTTATAGAGTCGCGCTGCTCAATTCGCTGAACCGCGGCCAAATTAGCTCAGTCGTAAAGTCCTCGTTACTTGGTCGTGCATCAGGTGTTGGTCGGCGGCGGTCACGGGTCAAGGTCACATCGTAAACTAGCCAGAGAGTTGTTAGGTGGTGCAAATAAGACGGATTAATTGTCGGCTTGGCTTTTACTGCCGAGATTCTGCGGCCAATTGCACACCTGTGGATATGCAATAGAGGGGATTTGGACGCCTATTAGAAACTCGTAATAAAATTGGGCCCTCACGACATACCACCTGTTAATATAAAATTGGTTGCACGTGCCAATAAATAAAATAGAAAACCGATCACACTTTGGAATCTATTTTAATATATTTAATTAATGTTAAGGAAAATTTACTTATTTTTATTGAATGAAGCCTTCGTTTCAAAATTCAATTTTCATTGTTGAATTCAATTGTTTTGATATAAAATTTAAAATTAATTGTTTTAACTGGTGGTAATTTCCTTTAATTTTTATAAACTTTCAAAGAATTTTGCAAAAATGTAATTAAATAAATTTATGAATCAGGATGCAGATTTTTTTAATCTATGTTATTAAAATTTAATAATAGTTTTTTTTTAACATGAAAGAAATATACAAATTATTAATGCTACATTTATTTGTTGTTTCCGCAAATTTAAAAAAAAAATACAAAATTATTTTTAATAATTTACTAATCTTTTAATTTTAATTACTCACTTTGGTGATCTGGGTGAGCGGTGCCCCCTGTGGTTTTGCAGCATCAGCGTCGAGTTGGCGGGCAGGCCAGCGGCCATGGCCTCGGACAGCCAGGCGGCCACGAACAGCACCTGCAACACGCGAGCAAAGAAGGCTAATTAGTCAGTTGCGGGCGGGTGGTCGCACACGCGGAAAGACAGTTCGGCTGGCTGGCAGTCGGCCAGCGGGCGGCGGCCTCTGGCCTTTGATCCGTAATCCCTCAAAGGCAGGCGCCGCCGCCGACGCGTCACCGATCGACACCCCACTGACTCGATAATTAACATTGTTGCAGACGACACGTGTCAACGTGTCTCTTACTTAGACAACGATTAGCACTCAGAGGCTGAATTGACTCCGAAAAAATTTTCAGCTGAAAATACTGGAGTCTCAAAACCTGATGTGAGATCTAACAATAAGAATTTTAATTCAAGGTATTCAGTAATTTTTAGAGAAATTGCATTTTGCGCTTGATATTACAATAACTTAAAAATAATTCAAGCAAGATTTCGCTTAAATGCAATCTTTTTAAAATTTTTTATTGGTGAAAAAATTAATAAATTATAGACAAGTGTAATATCAATTTTCTTTTCCATTATAATTCCAGGATGTTGAAATAAATTTTTTTTTCAGAAAAATCTACAACAGCTCGTCAAGACCTTTCATCAGCAAAAATTATTTAAAAAAATCCAAAATTTAATGATCTAACAAAAAATTAGTGAAGATAATTCCTTCAATAATTTTTCTTTAAAATTTTCAGAGGGAGGAGTGAAATAAATTTCAATAAGGGCTGGGACAAATAGTCAATCACCTTTTGGCAATCAGTAAAACGCTAAAATGTAATGATTTCCAGGTAATATATAAAATCAAAACCGAGAGTAGGGATAACTATTTTTATTTGTTAAAAAATCACCTTTTTTCGTATTTTAACAACAATTTTGGAAGTGAATAACATATTTTTACCCAATTGAGATTTTTGCCATTTTGAAGTATGAGCAACATTTTTCACCAGCCTAGGAAACTAAATTTTAGTTGCAAAATTCAAGAGTCGCTTTTGGGTGGCAACACTCAACGGGCCGGCTGAGGATTAAGGTGTGTTTACCGAGGTCTGCTCACGTTGATCCCCATCGATGCGCTGCCCGGTTATTTATTTGGCTCGCGCTCTTTGAGCCAGCGGAGACGAATTCCGCATGCACACATACTTGTAAGCGAATAAATCGGGTTAAACTGTCGCTCGACGGCGGGCACGTCTCTCTCGCAATCACGCCCACGGAGCCAAGGTGTAATACGCGAATTTATTTTTTACGAGCGGCCGCTGGTATGCGCGCGTATAAGCATTTTTATATTTATTCCGGTATGAAAATTTATCGCGCAGCAGTCGACTCGTGATTTACGGCCGTCGCGCTAATTTATTTGTCGCCGCTTGACGCAAGTCAGACACTCCGGAGACAGCAACCACGCATTTCTGCACACTTTCGCGCACATTTGGCAGCTTTATGACTTTATTATCCGCCTGTCCTTCTTTGTCTCGGCGCCTCGTAATTTTCGCGCCGGCTAATCTGGAATTCTAACGACCTGTATTATCTGGCCGGCTGGTGTTTTTCTCAAAGCATCTGATGTTCTGATTAGTTTATCACCGGTGGCGACCCGAATACAAATGGCTAATCTCTCGGTTTCAATAGAATTTCGGCAAGACAGGTTGATTGTGAGCCAATACCATGCGGATTTGGGATGCTAATAGTTTCACAGAAACCATTCCCGTGCGCGGCGCGAATTTCAATTTAAAACGCAGAATAATAGCAAATAATGATCATAGACCGTGTTCAAAATAGGCATGGTAATCGTTCATTTAAAGTGCATTGAATTTTTAATTCTGTGTGGTTTTAGTTAGGAAAATCTAGAGCTGCAGGGAGTTTTTAATGGATTTGAAGCTTTGCGAAATGTATTATTTAATTATTTTAGATTAAAATTAACTGTGCTATGATTCTTTCTGATCTAAATACATTGCTCAAGGCACTTTTTCATATTCCTGAAAACTGAAGAAAGATTTTTCTTATTTTATTAATCTTATCAAGACGGAATTTTCTATGCCTTTGCTTATATCGGACATATCGGTGAGTTAAAAGGTGATTGAAAAAAAATTTAAGTTGACTTTTTGTTGGAGCTCAGCAACTTGTGACTTAAATTTTCAATAATATTGGATTAATGAGGACTCCTCATAACTCCAAGATCAAATTTGTTCTGGCAAAAAAAAAATACTAAAAGTTAAGGGGAAAAAAAATACAAACGCTTTTCCAGCACTGAAAAATTCAATTCAAATTTCATAATTTCTTGACATTTCACTTTTATTTTATTTTTTAAAAAGCCAGTCGAATTAGCCATGAATTGATCTTGTGCAACGTATTTCAAAATTTCCAATTATTAATTTATGAATGAAAAATCATTCAAGCAAGAAATCAGATACAAAATTCACTAATAAAGCCGCAACAGAATAATCAGCACAAGTGATCACATTACAATATTTTCCAACATCTCAAGCAGTCGTAAAGCACGATTGCTGCCGACACGCCATGGTGAAAAAATGCACTCGATAGGCAGATAATTACACTCGAAAGCGACTTTAATGCGCTAATATGATTTACGAGCCGGTCGCGATTGCAATCAGAGCTGCAGAGCAAATTCGCCCCGGCGCCAATAATGGCATTTTCTTGTCCGCGCTTTTCGTATTGCGGAGATCGTTTTATGTCGAAGAAGAAGTTATATCTCTCTCTTCCCTCAGCAATAATTACCTTTTTAATTTATGTCTTTTAACTCCCCTGCACATGCGGCAATAAAGTAATGTATTTTACTGCGCAAATTAAATTGTCGTTTGCTCGTAAAATAACGTGTTTATTGCAAAACGGGCCCCTCGCTCGCGCAGGTAAGACTCTATTTTAGCTGAAAGCTGCTCAAAATAAAAGCAACAACGGTGACCGCGCGTCGCTGCTGACGATCATTAAGCCTCTTGGGCAAATTTCATTTGGCAGAAAATTGCTTACGTCAAGTTTAATTACGGAATTTGAAAAGGTTGCTCTTAATTAAAAATTTAGTTTGTTCCTGAAGCAGCTAATAAGAGGAAACGCTTCTTTCAAAATTAAAAATCAATAAGACCAAAGCTCGAGAAAAAATTTTGAATGATGGCTTTTTTAAAGCAGTTTTACAATATTTCTGGAGGGTCTAGAAACTTTCAAAATCCGTTAGTTACAGATGGTGGAAAAAGAGCCTAATTCTTTATGTGATGCAACCTGCACAACGAGCATGTTATTTAGTTGCCCAAAATGTATTTTTTAGATGAATCAAGGGTTAATTCCACTTCCATTTCAATATGTATGCGTATAGGCGATTCAAGCTTTTTTGTAATAAATGAGCAGATATGAGTTTTAGAAGAGAAGTTCATAGCTAAAGCTGGGCTGCTGGCGCGCGATAACCTCTTTACTCTTTACCACCCAAGGGCATAATTATTTTAACAAAAAGCAACACATTCTGCAAATATATTTTGCTGCAGATACGAAATAAATCATTGTTTAGGTTTGAAGTAATTGGCATTTTAAATAATTATGTCTGCAACGATAATAATTTAAAAAATTTTAATAATATTTAATTTTTATTTTTTGCAAGTAAAAAACTTGATTCTTGTGCTTACAAACTGTGCGGAGTCTTGCAATTTGTTTTCGCATGCGAATTACACAATCAGCAGCACAACAATTGTTCGCCAACACTATTTTGTACCTGGGCATTCAATCTTTGCAGGAGCCTGGAGGCAGACTGGGTGTACGCAGGTAATTGGGTGGGCGGCGAGGCCACAATAAATAAAATCGCGCGGCGGCGGCGGCGGCGCATGCATAAATAAAGAGAGATGGTCTCTCCGAATTGAAATATCAGCAGCAGGAGCAGCACCGAGCGAGAAAGAAAAAGAGAGTGCTGCTCTTTCAATTACTCGCGGCTGCCATTATTAAAGGCCAATTACCGTCAGCCACTTGACTGGTTCTCTCTCAGCCGGCTTAATTATTTTTATGCGTGGATTCTCGCTTGCTCGCCAGCCAGCAGCAGCAAAAACACATCTCTCACCTTATTCAGACTTATTCGGCGTGCCTTTTCATTAGCTTTATAAGAGTTTTATGTGCCCCTCAATCTCTCTTTTACTTCGCGGCCGAGAAGTGCTAATGAAATCGGTGCGTGACTGCCCAGCACCAACTTGTTTATATCGTTTGACTATAGCATGAGCTCTGACGAGCAGATTGTTTTAAAGCTGTTTGCTTTTTCAGAAAGGTTTTTATTCCAAAGCAATCAAGATCGTGCCTTATTTGGAAACAATCGTTTTTTTTTATTGATTGAAAATATTTATCTTTTTCATGTCAGAAGCAACAAAAATTACACTTTATAAGCTCAGAATTCTTTTAAATTTTACATGTACCACTCTCTGAATAAAATTTACAATTAAAAATAATTCTGATAAATTTTGAACCACTTCAACTGTAGAAGTGGCTCAACATAAGTTTAACAAATACACTGTCATAATGAAAACCATTCTGCTATTGTTGAGAAGTAGATGATGATGAGAAATTTTATATACATTACTTTAAAAAAAAAACTTGTGACTTATTCCGTATTGATAATATGGTTTTAAATCAGCGCAAAGTTCGGATCAAAATTTTTCAAATTATGGACTTGTGTAGACCTGGCTCAAAACTAGTGCCAAATTGGTGAACTGTTCTGCATCAGATCTACACCAATTGGGAACCATTTCTGTACCACATCGGCACCAGTGCTGCAAAAGTCATATAATTTATAAAAATTTCAAAAATAAATTTGTAAAAGAGTTTAAAAAAAATTTTAATTCTTAAACAAGTTGCTTTGAAATATTGCGATAAAATTAATAATTTTAAAAATATCAGAATATTTTGTGTATAAAAAATTAAAAATGTTTTTTTTTAATATTTAAAGGATATAGATAAATTAATTTAAAATTTTTAATAAATTTTATATGAATTTTTAATTTTTATTAGGATTATTCAAATAAAAATTAATTTGTATCAAAACTTACAAATTGCAGACT